GTCGGGCGCCATCCCTTCCCCGGGGTGGGGGGCTCTTGCTGCCGTTCCGGGGGCCCTGGGGTCGACGTGCCAGGGCGCGGTGGTGGGGCTGGGCCGGGAGGGCCTCGGCTCCGTCCTGTCCCTCAGGGCTGCTCCCCGCGGCGGCGGGCAGAGCAGTAGCGAGGGCTCTGCGGGGCCGCCCGGGGGAGAGCTGCAGCGGGGAGAGTGTGCGTGATCGGCTGGCGAGGAGAGAAAGGGGTGTTTGTGCCAAATATCTCCGTGGAGGTGACTAGTGCAATGCTGGGCTCGCGGGTGGCGACAAGTGGCCTCCCAGCCAGTCTGTTTAGCTCTGCTTTAAGATCTGGCGGCGCTCTCTTCCTCACCAAGCCTTTCTGGTAGAATTCCTGCAAGGCAAAAGACAAGAAAAAAAAAACCTCAACAGGAAGAGCAAGTTCTAAGCGATCTGAGAAAGCTGTCGTACCCCAGTGCGGTAATCGAGGGCTGTTAGCTCGGTCTGTTTCCTCAACATCTTACAGTGTGCTGAGGTGATTCAGGATGTAACAAGCAAGATTCCGGAGTGTTTAGGGCCCTCTGCAATTCTTACATGTCACTCTAGCTCATGTCAACCTGACCATGGTATAGTCGCTCTCGGGAATTTTCACTGGTTTGAAACATCTCAGTCACTTGCAAAGCATCTTTTGGGAGTTCTGTTGTGCTTGGTGTTGTCTTTTAATACTGAGGGATGTGTTTGACCTGAAGTCAGGAGTTTTCGTATGTAAACGTGAAAGCCCTGCGTGCGTGTATCAGTATATGTGTTTCAAAGTTCTTCACATAGCTAGCCAGAGATTTGCTCTTGGTATGCTGCACAGGGATGTTAGTGACAAACCTATAGCAAAATAGGGATGATTGGAACATACTGAGGAAGTGAGAGCTGAAGAGGGAGTATGAATTGAAGATCATTCTGGTTTATTGTGCTAGGAAAACTGGGAAGCAAAAGATAGGCTCCAGCAATCCAAGGACATGCATGCATACTCTACCAAATCCAGGAAACTGTAGCAAAATTCCACATTTTCTGGGTAAAAGATTGATCTCTCCAGCATATTGAGGAGAAAATGCTGCTTTTCATGGTTGTACTTGACCCAGAGCTAGGCAGTTTTGCAGTGTTGGTAGCTCTTGTGCTTCACTTGGAAGTTGAACAAAATTTCACATTTTTTTTAATGCTAGGTACTGGTTAGAAAAGCTGAAGAAGAATCTGATTTTGGTAAAATAGGAAAATAAGTGTTGCTATGGTCCTCTAAAATCTGTACGTTACCTTGCAGGAAATGATGACCTGTTGACTGATTACCTGTCATATATGATACAAGGAATGAAACTGATAATACACAAAATAAACTTGGAAGAAAATTGATCATTGTGTTTTGCTAACTTTGTTTGTTAATTTTTGGATCAAAAGACTAGAAAATTTTATCAGATAATTTTTTCCCCTTTTTAAATGAAACAATGGAGTTTTGATTCACTGTTATCTGTGTGTCTTCTGAGTATATTGTCTGATCTTTTTGAGGGCTCTAAGTCATTTCCTCAGAAGTTACTCTGTTCCATTGTACAGGATCCCTCTAAAATCTGTTTGTCAGGAAAATAAATTTTTCTTTTCCTGCAGGGAATCAGCTTTCTGATGTTCTTCAGCCGTTGGAGGTTGATCTATTATCTTGCCCCTTTGTAATGAAGCATTGGAACCCACATGACAAATGAGTAAAATTCTCCAGTCTCAGCTGGGAGTCCGATAAAATGAAGAGTTCTAAGACCCCAAAGCAGCCCCTGCAAGGCCACCAAACTGATCTCTCTGCATGGCGAAAAGGAGGAAGAGTTGACCCTGAAAAAAGTGTCCAGAATCATCAAACTCCTAACAGTCAGGAAAATGACAGACATCAAGACTCTCTTGAACAAGCTCTGTGCTACTTTGAGAAAGGTAAGAGCGGTTTTAAAGTTAGCTACCTAGGATTGAAAAAAATAACTAAATTCTTAGTAATAATAAAAACATCTAATTTTGTCTGCTGATTTTCCCTCTTTAATGCCAGAGCTCTGTAATATTTCTTTAACATCTTAAAAAGTTTTCCCCTTTCTGTTACTATGTAGAGAACCCTACAAAAAGGAATATATGTAGAGACAGTTCAGAGATGTTTAATTTCTTTGCAGTTCAGAAGTTTCATCCTTGTGTTTGTAATTTTTTTTTTTTCCTAACTAGTTCAAGACTGTGTTTCACTGAGAAAGAACAGTGTTCTGCAGAAACACTTGGCTACTGTGAAAAGCATTGCCCTGCAAAGAGGATTGCCCCCTGAAGGATTTGATGTATTGCTAAATGTGGCACTCAGTGGCAAATTTGGTAAAGTGCTTTTATACTGCTAGTGTGTCTTCTGTGAATGTCTCTTTCCCCTCTAATCAAACCTGCTTAACATAATGTGCTTATGGTGATTGTATTCTTAGGTACTTTAGCATAAAATTAGTCTTTCTGGCATGTTTTAGTGTAGTTTCTGAGTTCATGTTAAAAATAATCACAGTATTTGCTACAGGGGAGTGATATCCATAAAAATATGATGGCTTGTTGCAACTATTTTTTTTTAAGAGCTTATTTCCTTTGTCCATAATTGCAGGTCTCTGAAAGGCTTAAAGCGTGTCCTTAGCAACCGTTGTCTTTTCCTTGTTGTAACTGCTGTTTGTGTAGGTTTCTTTTTCCCAAGATCAAAAGAGTTGAACTGACATAGTTGTATTAGTGAAACTTCCTAAAATTAAAATGTCATCCTAACAATCAATTCAGCAGTGTCAGTGCAGCTCCTCACACTGCTTTCTTAGAAATAGTGGCCACCATTTATACTTCTAAATAATAAAATATTCAGTAAAGAAACAAAACACTTAAACTTGCCCCTCCCCCCAACCCAAGAGCAACACAGAGGATTCTTTCCTCATTATGCAATCAGTTTAGTGTTTTTCTTGCTTTAAAATTGCTAGTTTATCTTCAGAACACTAATCTGCTGATGTTTGGCTGAGATTCATATACTCTTGCTGAAGGAACTGATTGATTAATATTACCAGAAATTTCTGTTACTTCTGGCTGTTTTGCCAAGAGTTCAAAGGCTATTTCAGTACTAAAATACTCAATATTCCATTTTCTTTCTTTAAGCTGGAAAAAATTATTTCTCATAATTTTTTGAAGTATAGTTAAGTCACTACCAGATTCTTGTTACTTTAAGCACTGTTACTGTTACTTTAAGCACTGAAGCTCAATAATCTTGTCCGGATGGATTTTGACTTAAGCTGCAAAACCATATCAAAGAACCTGGTAGGTGAGCACCATCTTATTTAATATTTTTTGTTTTCCAGCTGATACAGTGAATACTTGTTTACTGAAGAGCCTGGTTCCAGCCTCAGTAATACCAGAAAGTTCTGTCATTTCATCTGTGTCTTGGCTATGCACTGGCAAATGCTCAAGCAACATTCAGGTAACTTAAGAAATGTTTACAGTACTTATTGCTTTCTGCACAGGAATGATGAGGACAGATTATTTTCAGGAAGCAAATATCCTGAGGTTTTAATGTACTTACATGAGATACTGTCATTTAGAAAGATTGGCAGACACCCCCATTGCTGGAACGGCAGTGGGAACCGAGGAATACTTCTGAAGTGTGAGTGGAAATTTGCACAGTTCCTACTTGTCTTGTATCTCTGAATTCCTTAGGAATGATATTTCCACCAACATTTCTGTGAAATACTTCAGCTATATCAAGGCATTCTTTACCAACTTCAGCAAGGTGTCCCTTAGGTTCTGTATATCTTGGCTGTGGCAACATGTCTTCACGGTAGCAAAAGTCTTGTTTTTCTTCATGTAGTCTGCTCAAAGGTTTACATCACAGAATCATTTAAATTGAACTTTTAAGATCGAGTCCAACCATAAGCTTAACACTGCCAAGCTCACCACTAAACCATGTCCCTAAGCACCACATCTACACGTCTTTTAAATACCTCCAGGGGTGGTGACTCAACCACTTCCCTGGACAGCCTGTTCCAATGCTTGACAACCCTTTCGGTGAAGAAAATTTTCCCAATATCCAATCTAAACCTCCCCTGGTGCAACTTGAGGCCATTTCCTCTTGTCCTATCTCTATCTTGGGATATCTCGCTCCTCTCCCTATCTTGAGAGAAGAGACCGACCCCCACCTTGCTACAACCTCCTGTAGAGAGTGATAAGGTCTCCCCTGAGCCTCCTTTTCTCCAGGCTAAACACCCCCAGTTCCCTCAGCTGCTTCTCGTAAGACTTGTGCTCCAGACCCTGCACCAGCTCTGCTGCTTTTCTCTGGACACGCTCCAGCACCTCAATGTCTGTCTTGTAATGAAGGGCCCTTGGATCATATCTGAGGGGTAGCAGATATTCAGAACTGAGCTGCTTTTCCCATTCTGGTATGGCAGATGATGCTTTTGCCAGGCTTTCTTCCACAGCTGAGTTATCCCTATGCTGTTCATCTGTAGCTATCTTGGTTGCCCATGAGAGTGGTATGTATCCTTAATGACTGTGTCTCTTAAATTGGCTAATGACTGGTCTGTCTTGCCTTTGCCCATCACTTAATGTTATGTGGCTTTTTTTCCTGTTTGCAGCTGCTTTTTTTAAAATGGCTGATCACAGTGTTTGACTTCATCGATCACAAGGAACAAATTCATGCCCTCTATGGTTTCTTCTTTTCCATCCTGCAAGATGAGAAGATGGTAAGGAGAGCTGAAGAATATATGAAATGGACAAAATAAACTTAAATATTCATTAGTAGTATGCATATGAATGCTAGAATTAGTCTGGAATAGCTGTTGGTTAGAGAACATTTTCTGATGGCTGTAATTTGTTTTCTTTTTTTCATTTTGTGTTCTAAGATTGCTGAATCTAATTAGCATTTAGATTCAGAAACAGGGAAGTACTGTACGATTATTTTAGTTTCAGTGCTGTGGTCTGGTTGTTCAAACATTTTTCTAAGAATTGCTATTCTGCTTGAGTGACAGTATATTCTCTAAATTCCCATGATTAACTATGACACTGTAGTCTCTGGGGTTGCCTTTGATGCCAGACAATCAGCAAGGAAAGTCTCCCACTCCTGGGGAGAAACTGACTTGCATACCTTGGGCAACCGCCCCCCAACTTTTAGGGCAACATTTATTTAAAGGTGAGAAACTAAATGCTCTTCTAATTAATTGATTTGAAATGTAGCTTAAATGAGAACAAGCAATCAGGAGATTCCTGCTATATGGCAGCTGTAAAATCCAGGTGCTGGAATGTTGAAGTGTTTGGATTCAGTTTGTATTAAGATGATCTTGGCGGTCACTGCAGTTAAAACTTTTTAAATTGCCAAAGTTCTATTTCTTGCAATGTTTTTAATGGTTTTAGGTTAACATTAGTTATAATGTTTTCATAAAACTGGGTTTAAGTTATTGTTTAAAAATAGCATTTTCAGGCATGATGGGCTAATTGGAAGCACACCAGAGTTGGTATGAAACTGATTAAAGACCCTTATGACCTCAACTGTAGTTAGAAGGTCAAAAAAATTATTTTGATTCAAAGCTGCCTTTCTGTTTGAAAACGTAATTGTACTTTCACTGCTGACTCCAGAAATATCTAGATCATTTTCCAAAAATCAAGATCCAAGCTCACTGTGTAGCTTGATTATTATAGGGCACGCTTGTAGAGCAGATAATGTTTCTAAATAAAACTGACATATGTGACATGTAAAAAACCATGCTACTTTCCAAGGGAAGTAGGGTATGCTCTGCCCCAGTGGGCATGCAGAGATGACTTGAGGCAGCCAACCAAATGAAACAATATTCGCTTGTGAAGCCTATTCTGGATAACAGTCTGCACCAGCAGGATAGTTCATTGCTGCCTCTTCTTTGCAGTGCCCCTATGTCTGCCACCTGCTTTACCTGCTGACCAGGAAAGAAAATGGTGAGTCTATCCAATGGTGTTATGTGGAATACTATTTTGTTTCTTATTTTGTTTGCTGGCATTGTCTTTTCTTCTAACGGAGCTAATACAAGGACTAGCCAATATATTGCTTTTAAGGCAATTAAGCATGAGTAGTAGTTAAGCCTGATTTGTTTAACGCTTTCTGAATTGGAAACCTGCCTATTAGCCTGGAAATAAGTCTTATTCATTCTGCTTGCTTTGCAGAATCACTGGTATAGTAAAAGGGATATTGCATTTTTGCTTAAATGTCTGATACAGTGGTTTTTAAACTCATTCTGTTCATAATTTTATTTCCAGTCAGGCCTTTTCGGATTAGGAGACTGCTTGACCTCCAGACAAAAATGGTGAGTTTATTTCAAATCTTGTGGAGTTTGAACTGTGGTTAATAATGCAATTTGTAAAACTAATGTCCTTACAGGATATAGAAGAGTGGCTGGTGTCTAGGGACAGGGTTAGACTTGGAATTGGAGGTTGAAGTCTTTGTAGCATCAGGGCTTGTCTGTCTTGCTTATGCATCCCTCATTTTCATTTGTGTTTTGTGAGCACCTGAAATGGCATGCACAAAGCTATACGTTTCATAGCTAGATGTCGTAAAATATCTGAAGCAAGGGTCAGCTTCACTGATCTATTACCATCTTCAATTTTCTATTCCTCTTCCTTTTTTAAGTGGTATAAAAAATGATTGAGAAATATAAGATTGTAGAGGATCTTGCTCCCTTTTTTGTAAGAAAGAACTAGCTGTAGTAACATGGTTTTGGATCATTTAGACAGCAGAAGACTGTTTCTTATAGTTTTGATTAAATTCCTTTTTATTAGCTATGACTGCAGAAAGTTTCTTCTTCAATCCCTGTATTTCATTGGCACAGTTTCTGTTCTTATTTTCGTTTTCAGTTGTTCATCTATGGTTAGTTACCGATATGTAGCTTTAGAAAGCTTTTAGTGATCACTGGGCTATTTTTTTTTTCTTCTAGAAGACAGTATTCTGTTTCTACATTGAAAACATATCCCACATGTTTTTCCTCTTGTTCTGCTATTTGACAGGGATTGCAGTCTCATCTGCAGGCTCTACTATCACTTTACAAACTCTTCTGTCCTGAGCTTGTGACCATAACCCTTCCTGGGAAAATTAAGGTAAGGAATTAGATTTAGTCTATTTGGAACCAGTACCTATGACATTATTTGTACTGAGCTTTACATTTATCTGTCGCATAATTTGGTAATGAAGATTAAATGTATTTTCTCTTTTCACTGAGTAAAATCAGATTTAGATGAGGATTCCTTGCCTTTGATTTTTGTTTTGTCTTCAGCACAATGAGACAATTTGTAATGAAACGGCATCTACCTTTATCCTTATGAGGATGACTAATCCTCCATTTGGTGTTCTTGCTGGTTTTGACTTGTTTCACACAACGTTAAGTTCTTCAGGAAATAAACTGTCCTGCAGATGGGTCAGGGCAGTTCTGTGCAGAAATCCAGGCTGGGCAATGAGTGGATTGAGAGCAGCCCCAAGGAGAAGGACTTGGGGATATTAGTGGATGGAAAACTGACTGTGAGCCAGCAATGTGCGCTCACAGCCCAGAAAGCCAACTGTGTCCTGGGCTGCATCAGGAGAAGTGTGGCCAGCAGGTACAGGGAGGGGATTCTCCCCTTTGTTCCGCTCTCTTGAAACCCCCCCTGCAGTGCTGGGTCCAGCTCCAGGGGCTCCAACATCAGAAGGACATGGACCTGATTGAGTGGGGCCAGAGGAGGCCACAAAGATGCTCAGGGGGCTGGAGCACCCCCCTGTGAGGACAGGCTGCGAGAGTTGGGGGGTTCAGCTGGAGAAGAGAAGGCTCTGGAGAGAGCTTACAGCGGTCTCACAGGACTGAAAGGGGCTACAGGAAAGGTGGGAGGGACCCTTGATCAAGGAGTGTAGGGATAGGATGAGGGATAACAGTTTTAAAGTGCAAGAGGGCAGGTTTCAATTAGATGTAAATAAGAAATTATTTACTGTGAGAGTGTTGAGACACTGAAATAGGTTGCCCAGAAAAGTTGTGGCAGCCCGCTCCCTGAAAGTGTTGAAAAGGTCTAGTGAAAGGTGTCCCTGCCCACAGCAGGGATGTTGAAGCTAGATGATCTTAAGATCCTTTCAATCCAAAACATTCTATGATTTGTACAAGGCATTGTCCAAATCGCTGACTTTCTCAAACACAATCAATGGATGTCAGTATCTTCCCACTTGGAAAGTCTATGTCGTAGAAGGAGGGAAAAAATGTGGTAAGCTGATTTGTTAGAGCTTCAAGATAACAAAAAATATTACTTGGCTTTTAGAGGGGCCTATGTGTATGCTTAGCCCTTTGACTGAGTAGAATATATGGAGCAGAAACTGAAAATAGCAGTAGGCGAGACCTAAATTCTGCAACAAATTTTCTTTCAGTGCTTCAGTGGGATAGATTTAGGGTTTGGTTTTGTTTTGTTTTTTTTAAAAAGAATTTATCTGTAGTCAAATTGTGTTTCTATAAAAGAAAATTTGTTTTTATTCAGTCTGTTTTGTGTACTTAGCTCGATAAATTAATAGTTTGCATTGTGCTGCATAGTCATCTGTTGGAGAATTAAAATTTTTTGGTTTGTTGACTGTTTTTATGAACATGCTGTGTTAACTTGTATAATAAATGCTTGATTACTTAGAACCAAAACAATGTGAATGCTTTTGTGATGGCTTGGCACTTGACTGGGATTTAAAGACTAATTGCAACTCAAGTGACAATAAGTTTTGTGCAGAAAAGGTGTTGGGTTCATTTTCCAGATTCTTTTTTTTTAAGCTGTAGTATCTACATTAATTAGAACAATTCAATGAGTAATCAAATTCTTAGTTTGGGTATCACTGATGCTGAATTTGGGAAGTTTTCCTAGGAACTTGCGTAAGCATACCTTGATCATATTTTATTTTAAATGTATACTTAGGATTTACTGTATGAATTGATGACTGATCTGAATGAGGATTATAAATCAGAAGTGTTGGAGATCTCTTCTGAAAAAATGAATATCATTTTGGAAGAAAATAAAAGCATAACTATTCAATTATTGTCAAAAGGAATGAAACTGAGGAATGACAAGTGTTCTGTGCTGTTGTGCTAGTTTGAAAACAAACTAGTGGGACACACCAAGTCAGAATAACAATTTAATAAGGAAAAAAAAAATTATAAAGGCAGATAACACTGGGTTAAACTAACAGTCAGGATACAACCTGACACCCTGTTAATCAGGGTGGTGGTAGCAGTCCCCCTGAAACAGTGATCCTGTAAGGGAAAAAAGAAAAAAAAAAAAAATCTGCTCTTCCTCAGAAAAGTCCAGTGGTGGCTAAGCAGCTCCTGTCCTCTGGAAATCCAGTGGAAAAGAGAGTGTCTCTGGTATTCAGACTCTCAGGTTATATCCAGGATGGAATGCTGGGTTTCTCCCTCTGGGTGGAGCATCTCACAATGGGATAATGAGTCATGCTGCATGGCATTGATGGGCCATTAACAGAAAGGTAGTCTGGAGGGGGGGGGGGGGAACAACAACAACAAGGAAACACTGCCCCACCTGATTTCCACAGCTCATGAGGATGGTAATAGAATACACTGCAACCCAGGACAGCTGTAAAAACCCAGCCTCTTGGTCTGTCAGGCAGACTTGAGTGTATATACACCATTGTGGTGACATTTATCAGAATAGAAACTGATCTGTCACTTTGTCTTAGTTTGGCTTCTTCCACAGATGTCTGGTTTATGTTTTCAGACTTACTTCAAGAATTGCGAGGGCCCATGGAAAGCAGCAATCAATTCAATCAGGCGAAGAAGCCAGAGCAACTCTCCACTCTCCCAGCCACTGTTTTTAGGCACAGCTCAACCTCAGTCACGAAAAAGGGTAGGTTGTGGGCCTGAAGTAGATCCTAGAAGGGGCCAAGTAGCTGGTTTTGTTATGAATATTGGCAAATAATGGGACTTGGACTTTATTTCAGCACTGGGTGAACTAGCTATACAGAAATGCAGCATTCCCATTATGAATGCATGGATACCTTTTCTGCAAAACATGGTCTTTATGGGAACACTAGTCACAAGTGCTCTTCATTGCATTGCAAACAGTCATTGCTGTTTGTGTTTCTTTTCTACAGAAATGGAATACGCAGTTGTTAATACCTGCAAGCAGTACAAACAGAAATAATTTAGAACAGAACAGGGAAAAGAACCTTGTTGATTTGTACAGTACAAATAAGTCTTTTCCAGTGGAGCAGCTGCAGACCTTTCCTCAGCTCCTAGAAAATATCCACTGTCTAGAGGTGAGTTTCAAAAAGGTCTCGGTAAACTCACTGAGTGTTTCTGAGATCAAAGGATATTCCTCAATGCCCTGCTTATATGTGAATAGTGTGTGGGCTACTTAGTTCTAAGAGCATCTAGTCCTACCTGAGGGTGATGAATGAGTCCTGGAGATGGTCTTGTTGCCAGTAAAAGGATTGAACAGCTCTGATAGAATGAGATTCTCTGGCAATTTGCTGATGTAAATACCGAATAACTATTTTTCTATTGATTTCTCTTGCAGTTTCCTTCCCAGATGGGTTCTGTGCTAACAAACCCTTTATTGCTTCACTACATGAATTGCATCAAAGATGAATCTGTTTACCTGAGGCTCAATTACTGGATGGGCCAGACTCTTCAGGAGGGTAGGAACTTGGTATTCTCTTGTGTGATAGGGAGGTAAAGGATGTCTGAGGCTTTTCACCTTTCAATAATGGTACTTGTCTATTCAGATTTATAGTGATAATCACATAGTGTTAAAAGAACTACTGGAGAACTGAATTCTGTTTCTGATTGTGCTTATTTTTGCTGTGCTCACATTCAAATACAGTATTCTCTCCTGTTTAGAATGCCCTTGGTGTGTGGCTGATAACCAGTATGAAGATGAATTCAAGGACTTCCTAGAAACTGTCTACAAGACAGAGTGTTTCTTGCAGGTAAGTGCCTGCTTTGTGAAATCATGGGTTTCATGAAGTCTTCCCTTAAAGTACTCTTGAGACTTACCTGTTTCATGTAGTATCTCTGACAAGTGACAGTGTCTCAAGTAATAAAAATAGATATTCCTATAGCAAGTCACTATTCTGAAGATGGCCTTGTTTTCTGCAGGAAAGATAATTTGAGAATGAGATTGAGAATGATAATTTGAATGTGCTGATGAATTATTTGGCAGGAGGGGAGGTGTAAGCCTCTTCCTTTCTCCAGGATAGTGAGCATGGCAAGGTGCAGGCATATGAGATGAGTTTTTTTGAATGTTCATCATCTGCTTTGTAGGAGGGATTTTCTTCCTGTGAAGAGTTTCTGTATAAGAGCCTTCCTCTCTGGGATGGCGTCTCCTGCCGATCACAAATCCTCAGACTTGTGAGCTGGATCCCCCTCAGCAGCTTCTCTGGTATGTGTTGCAGATCCTTGGTTGAGGCTGCACAGTGATCTTTGGAGATAGAATTTGTGCACAGATATCATACTGCTTTCTCATTTGTTTCAGAAATGAAGTCACATCTCTATGATCCCCTGGCACAGCTCTTTTTTACATCGTCTCTTTACTTTAAGGTAATTTAAGTGAGTATAGTGTCTGTTTACTTCTAGTTGGTATTGCTATCTGCCCTTGTGTCAAGTGTAGCAGTCTGAGGGATTGTATAGAGGATTTCTTTTGGGGAAGTCTATACCCAAATGAGAGTAAAATACATAGTTACAACATAACTTCTTTGGGAATTTGAGTGCCTTTAAGATATTTTCTTTTTTGAATGAAATTAAACTGGGGCACTGGAAATAAAAAGAACTGATAGTAGACAAGACAGTAGCTGTTTTTTTAATTGCAGTTTTAACTCAGTATTTGAAACGTGCATTTTCCAGGAAAAGCTGTGTAATGTATACATTCAGTTCAAGGGGACATGCAATTGTCTCACTGCTCTTTGTGGTCCTGAGAAACTCTTGATGTCTCTCCTTGTATATGTCAATTTTCATGTCACTTTTTGTTTAGTATTATTCACTTATGTAAATTGTCATAAATCTATTTCATTTTTCCTCTTGCAGTGCAGTGTTCTTGAGAGCCTGAAAGAGCTGTTGCAGAATTGGTTAAATTGGCATGTGATTCATCTGGATTCAGCATGTGACTCTCAAGTCTGTTCTTTGTAAGTTTGTCTGAAATAAATGTTATGCAGTGTTCTGTGCATTGTTTACTAGTGTAGATATATATTCTAGCCCTATTACCTACTATAAAGACTGACTAGAAGGTTAATAATGCTGTAATATTTCTGCTACATTGTAGGCTACCTCATGAATTCTTTCTTTCCGTTTCTTCGAAAGTGTTTCTATTGACACTGAAAATCAAAACATCCCGAAGTCAAACTCCTTGTAACTGATAGCTGGGTCACATTTGTAATAATGTTGGTAACATATTACTGGGTATATGGAAGAACAAATGCATGCTGCAGAGTGCTTGGTGGGGCAGAAAGATAGATTTCGATTTCTGTTTCCCCACTTTTCCTTTTTACTGTTTCCCAAGAGGTGTATATACTAATGTTATGTCATTGCTGCAGGAATACCACCCTTTCTGGATTAGTGAATATGGTGGCTGAACTGATCCAATTTGTTGGGTGGATCTCTACTGTAGCATTGCGTTTGGAAAACAATACTACCTTCCTGCTGTACTTCATTCTGGATTTCTATGAGACTGTATGTATCCCATTCGTCTTTCAAAATCCCAATACTCTAAGGCTGTTTGCATTTTTAAAGCTAGAGCATCAAAGAAATTTCCTCGTTATAGTTTACAGCACTTTGTGATTAAATGTAAGAATCTTCCAAATACTTGGTAGACCTACAGGGGATAACTGCTGCTTTTGCATCCATAGGCTTATCTAAATATGATTCTAGAAAGTGGTTGCTCTTAAGTCAGAGGTGAACTGTGGAAGGGGAAGTAACAATATGGCATGACATGTTTTTTCAATGCTAATTTAGAGAAAATAACAATATTCAGTTCAATTTCAAATAACATATCCTGATTTTTTCCTTAAACGTTCCCTTAAAAAATGCATTTTTTCCCCTAGTTTATACTGTAGACAAACTAAACAGCATCGCATAGTCCTAAGCCTATTCTCTGGCTTCCTCACATCCTCTCTGCAGATGTGCTTACTGCCATGTGAACTTCAGCCATGCTGTTGTTGCTTCTACGGTTTGGATAAAATTGTGAAGATTTGAAAAAACAATGATAGTTCTGGGATCTACTTGTAATTAAAATGTTCATTAAAAATGCACAAATCTAATTGGCAACAACATTTGCATAAGACAGTGTGTTTAAGTAAATGCTCATTTTATGGGAATATACAGAGGATCATGCACCCTTCAATATATGATTATTGGTGCACTAGCAGACAACTAGGATTATGTATTCAGAACTCCAGAGATTTCTAAAAGCATGCAGCTGAGATATTAAGTAAAGTCTAGATTTCTGAAAATATCAGTAATTCAGTTATGTACAAATATATACCTTATATGGTATAGCTGTACTGAGGGCAAGAGGAAAGGTGAATGTCTGGCAAACAATCTTTAGTGAAAAGTCTGTTATGAGGTTAGGGAAAGAATTCCTAAAACAGTTGCTGTGCCTAACAACAAAATGTAAAACATTCCTCTTCAGGATGGCAGGCTGTTACAGCTTAATTGTTTGTAGTCAGAGCTCTAGTAACTAGATATGCATATTCCTAGACCACTACTCTTCTGAGAATGCTCTTCAGGAAAGGTGTGCGTAATGCCTTTGGGAACAGCTACTGTGGCTAGGCCACAGAGGACAGTAATGTCTTAAGTTACAGCAATATTGCTTTCAATTATTTATCCATACTTTAAGACTGTCATTGTAGTTGAAGATCTTTTTAAATCTGCAGAAATTTTAAAATGTCTCTTTTACTTGAAACTCAACCTTAAATTCTAAACGTGAGTCTGATAATAAACCCATGTTTTATGGCCATATCATCTTTTCTTAGAGCAAAGCTTTTTTGTGTGCTCATGCAGTTCCAGTAAGGTTAAATGGAAAGATTTAATTTCCCACTTGGAAGAGATGTGTGGTCTGTTTGGCGCAAGGTCAGGTCTAGCTCAATCCCAGCTACATATGTCAGAATCATCTAAAAGATCAGAAACAAAAGGCTTCTGCTTTTTTATGAGAATCTGGATAGATTTGACTCTTAAGTAACCGTGTCAAAACATATAGTACACATAAATGGCTGAAGCAGAGACTGAGATGTGAACTGGTGTATATGTCTCATTCCGAGAAGAAAATAAATAGAATTACTTCACCCTGGCCTTTCCTCCTAGGTGAAGTTGATGGAGCTGGCTGGAATGCAGTGTCATGCTCTTTTTTGCTCTTAGATGCTTTGGGGTTTGTTAATGGCAGTAATAATCTTCCTGGATTCATTCTTGCAGGTGTGTGACACGTATCTGAGGCACAGTCTGCCTTTGCTGATAATGCCTCCTGCTGGAGTCTTCTACCCAGCGCTTCTCAGCATGGATTCTGTCAGCCTGAATCAGCTCTGCTACATTATGTATAGGTACTACAAATGGTGTGGGCTGTAGGGACTCCTTGTCTTCTCTTTCAGTCTTTTGGAAATGAAATGACTTTGGTGTAAAATCTGAAATCTACTTTTTCTTACGATGCAAGGCAAAGGTGAAAATTCCAGCTGTGCCCATCTTTCATAACAAGATTTTATAGCTGTAGTTTCTACTCTTTTTTTTCAGTGTTATGCAAAATAACAGGTTTTTGAGCTCTTTCCTAGGATTATTTCCATATGTTTGATATGTGAAGAAAGGAGTTCCCATATTGTTTTTAGAGAACTTAAGTCAGCCAGCTGGAATCACTAGTAGTTAACTATACAACTTCTCACCCCTGTGCTCTGACTGCTAGATTCGAGCTTTTCCTTGCCACTTCCAGACTGTAGGAATTTGGAGTGCCTTGTGCTGCCTGCAGGTCCAAAGACAGCACTGTTTAGCTCTCTGCAGGATCCACGAACATGGCTGCTGTTCTTGGCCTTGTTAGTTCCAGTGGTTGCATCTGAGGAGAGTAGCCAATTGCTGACAGCTGGCACAGGGCTTTCCATGTGGCTTTTTCTCTAAGGACTCTGCAGGGTAATTAACATGACAGGATGGTCTCTGGGAAATAAGAGATGCTAGTGCTTATTATATAGAACAACTGTCAAGTTGCATTAGTTCCAGTGGTTTCTGTTTCTCTGCTTAGTGAATGAAAGTCTCCTTTCTTAAAAATACACTGCATTTTTCTGCCGATTTTAAGCTGTATGTCGATTCTTGTGTATTGCCTTTATGAATGTGACTCTGCCAGGCAAACTGGTCATGTCTTAATCATTTAAAAGATTGATATGGTCAGGTGTCTCCCTGCTCTGCCTGGAAAGGGTAGGTCTATGCCAAGTGATAAGGTCCCTTTGAATTCTTTCTCATGTCTCTCTTGAGTAACCGGTAAAGTTTGAGGATCTCTCTCGTGGAAAAAATAAACTTCCTTAATATATTCCTCCAGCTATTTTACAACTCTGGTAGGTAGTAAAAATTAAATTTGTTTTTTTTTTTTTTCAGGTATCGAACCAACTTGGTGGCTGCAAAAGAAAATGAGCAGAGTAAAAAGGTATTGTGGATAGATCTATGTGATAGAATGGACCTTAGCAAGGAGTTGGGTTGAATGGAGTGGAGGGGTTCAGATGTCATGCTTTTAAGGACTAGAGGGAGCAGCACACGACTGCTTTGAGGATGCTATTTGATTTGTTTTCATGTCCCTCAGAAAATACTGCAATTCAAGTTCAGTAGCCAGACATACCAAGAGTACAACCAGTACATAACAGCTATGGTGGGTTGTCTGTGGACATCCACTGCTTTCCAGAACGATACTCACCCTCAAGGTCTTCGTATGGATGAGGAACTGCTGAAGAAAACCACAGTGCAGGAGTTCAAATCCAGCTTTAACATTGTCTACCATCCAGCCATGATGGGCTATGCTGTCCTCTTCTTGCAGCAGGTAATGAGGTGGGTCAACATTTGGGCCCTTGGCAGCAGCAGATGTTCTGCCTTGACAGTTTCTCTAGAGACGTGTCACTCGCTGTACTGGGTGACTTCTAGAGTCAGCTGAGCTCTAGTGTCACATCAGTGGCACAATTTGAATAGGCTTGGTTTGCATAGTATGAAAGCATGAATGTAACAGTTTTAGTTGTACTTATGATCATTTTGAGGCTAGAACTAAAATAGCTGAATAATGAAATAATTTACTAATTCAGTAAAAAGCTTCCCAATAGTCTTGACTCCAGAAAGTCAAGAAATATGTAGTTAAATTGTATACAGGTGTGCATGGTAGAACTTTTTAGCAATGTTTTCTGGCTCTTGCAGTAGCTTTTGAGAATGGCTTATTAAAAAAGAAATAGAAGTAGCTACTTCAAGTACAGAAGTAAGAATATATAGTGCTGTCTTGTGTTGACTGATAGGAGTTCTGCTAGTAGTTGTCTTGAATTCCAGGTGCTATCACATGTTCAAAGCAGCTACTGAATAATGGAGGGAGCAACTTGCCACAGTTGTTCCAAGATATGCATGCTGCTCTGAGAAATCAGGTTTTGTAGGCTGTCCAAGAGGTGCACAAAGATGCTGTGCTGTTGGAGGAATGCTGGCAGGCTGAAGCTATGTGTAGGTGTGGCTCCTGGAATGGAGCAAGATAAACCTGAGGTGAAAGTGAAAGCAGTGAATGCTGTTGAGGAATACTTCACACATTTGTCTTCATTTATATACTGTGTCCTGAATCGAGGTAGTTTATCTCTTACTGCTGATTAAAACCAAGTTTTGTCTTTCCCAGAGAGGCTATATTATTTTTGTTATATACAAGTTCTTTTTCCTTGGTCTTTCTCCTGTTGTAGCAGGATTAATTTTTCATATCTTTTGTCTAGATCCTTACCCTTCTGAGGCTTCCTGATTCTTCTTTGTAGCTTTTGTAAGTTAAAAACAAAAAAAAAAAACCAAACAGAAAAACAGACCAAAACCTTCTGGTGGAGAATTTTTGCATTCTTCTTGCTGCAGAACCAAAAAAGAGATTTTGCTTAGCAGCTGTCACAGATGTGTTTTAAGACAGGAAAAAATATTTAGCTGCAGTGCCATCTTCTTAAACACTTCAGTGCTGAGCACCAGAGGGCACTGCTCTGCAGCACACTCAGAGACATACTTTTTATCTAACTTGATACTGTTTTTATTTCCTCTTAAGGCTTGGCCAGATGATACCACCTTCAACTTCAGTTTAATTAAGGTAAGATTTCTTGTTTTAGTGAAGTGAAAACAGACAATTTTCAGCAGTTATGTAGAAGAGGATGAGGTGATAATATTCACCAATTTCACAAATGGTCTATAAGAAATTTTGAAAGGGGAAAATTCCAGTTTTAGATTTTGGTTCAGTCTCTTAACATGAGGAAATCAACATCTGAGAAGTTATATATCTAGCCATCTGTGGGTAGAGGTCTGAGATTTTTATATATTTCTTCCATGAGTCAGTGCAGTATCAGCACATGAGGTTGTCTGTTGTTCTCTTCAGGCTCCAGAAAAAGTTATATTTTTGGTGTACTCAAAGCAGAATTGCTGTTATCGGTGAACTTAATATTACATTTCTGAGATGGATATGTAGCTTTGTCATAGCTCTGAACAGGGTTCCTCCACTGAGCAAGTACAGTCTCAGTTTGTTTTCTTTCCTGTATCACAGTGTACTTCAAACCTGATCTGGAGCAATCACTATTAGTGATGGAAGGAACATTTTAATATCCATGTTCATTTGATTCTTGACATCTTCACTGTTGATCAAATAGACTTTGACCTTTTTAGAACTGGGATTTATGAACATCTTATGTATTAAAAAAAAAAAATCATGATTTGTAATGTTCAAGCTAAGACTGTGTCATAAGTGAAAAGTTTGGGCATTTGGGAACAGGACATGACCCTGTGTACCTGTGAATATTTACAGACTAGGATGGATGTTGTCTGACTGTGGAAGGTGATATTTGCAGACCTTTTCAGACCAGCCCTAGAGAGACAAAGTTATGTCCTGCACATCTGATTATTCTTTCTGTTTTTATAGGGAAAGAAGTGGAACTGGTATCTGGAATATCTTTATGCGCAGGGATTAAAGGGCCTGAAGCTCTTTATTGAAAGCAGCATCAATCGTGTTTCCCAGGCCTCTCACAGTAAAGCAGGGAATACACAAGAGTGACCCTGGGACTCACTGGAGCCTTTTTATCATCAGGAACAGGAAAGGCAGTATAAGGGACTGTCACTAATTCTTCCTTCCTCAGAGGCAGTTTGCATTTTTGTACTGACATCTATTTTAGGAGAGTGAAGACATAGAAGGAATGCTTAGGCTGCCTTGGTTCACTAACACTGAACCCCATCTTGACCTGCTGAACTTTCTGGTCTGAAGCTGCTGAGCTCACATGTTATGTATCATCCACATTTTTCTCTGTTGGAGTATCTGCTTTGATGGAGAAACAAACATCTACCATCTCAAAACTGCAGTGAGCAGTGCTGCTTCATTTATAAGTAATGTTGATCCCTGACCTGCTTTGCCTTCCTTGACAGCAGGTGATGAGAAACAATGGAGTCAGCTCTTCAGGGATACTGTATGTGTACTTGATTGGAGCACTACGAGTTTCCCACTTCTCTGTGGCACTTTGTATATACTGGCTTTTAACAGGCTGACCAAACTGACTTTCCTGAACTTCGTTTTCATTATGAAGCTTCCAAAAGAGGCTTTTTGCTAACATTGCTTATAATGTTGCTCAGTTGATGGTTTATTGATGATTTGAGCACTTGAACAATGTTGCCACCAGCTCACTATTTTCTATTGATAAGTGCAAAAGTAGCTTTCCTTTTTTTGTTTTTAGTTCTGTATGTGTTGTATATTATATGTGTACATATATATATAATTTATATTCTGTACAATGTTTCCAACATGCCATTTTGAAGGAACTCTGCTACAAAATGTATCGTCTCCTGTCATTTCATTTTAACTCTGAGTAGAAGTTGGGAGAAGCTGACCTCGTGTCTCCAAAGTTTGAGTGAACTTTATTTTACTGCTGTAAAACAAGGTTGCAATCAACTGAAAGATGGGTCAGAGTAGGCTGAATTTTGCATTGTGAATCTATATTTGGATTCAGTAAAGGAATTGGTCCTGAGAGTGATTCTAGAGCCACTAAGGATGTGTTTGGTTTCTTCATCCTCTGAAAATCAGACTAGCTTTAGGTTGAGTACCATACTGCTTGGGTCAAATAGGGGTTCTGGTTAATATGTGTATATGTATTTATGTGTGTGTATAAATTCTCTCCAGAGGATAAGGAAATCTGTCACTGAAAGAGAGATTTCCAGAGGGATCTGCTTATTGTCCCTTCTCATCTGGCTGTGTTATTCCAGCTAGTATAAGTGCTGCTTGCTAATTTCTGTCAAGAGAAACAGATCTTCAGAAATCCTGATTATATTTTCTCAACAGGGGAAACTCCACAAATTACAAATTCCTCCAAGTGGATGTTTCTAGATGTGACCCTGGCATACAGCCAGTTACCTCCCTTAAAGGCTGGTACTGTTGCTTTGGACCAGCTCAGCTTGTTAGCTGGCTGACAGCCCCAGTCATCATGTTGCCTTGTTGTTTGAGTCAAAGGCTGCAGCTGATGATCTGAGAAGAGCTCTGTACCTCCATAGTTGTTTTTATAATTTTTCTATGAAGCTACCTTTGGAAAGACATTGGAAATGCTAGCACTTATGCTGGAAAGCCTGTGTATTGCATTCCTTAAGGAGAATTTAATCCTTAGCTTTTTTCCTTGTGCCATACAGTTGTCTTCAGATGATGACCAGACTTGCGCTTCCGTATCGGTGCACTGGGATTCGGTACAGGAGTAGAGCTGGAGGGATTGACAGCCCTAGGAAAAGGTGAGGTGAAGACACGGACCCAGTTATAGATCTGTGTGTGGCAGGCTTATTCAGTAGGGAAAGAAGCAAATACAGAACATCTCAAAGCAGCATTTAGTTTTAGCCAGGAAGACAGACTTCATGTTACTTGGGAGCTGTTTAGAGTTTATGTGGAAGGAGCAGAGCTCTAGCATTCCTGTCAGACTCCAAGGTGCTGCCAGAGGCTTCATTTCAGTTGGGAAAGGTGCCTAGATTCTTAAAAGTGTGTGTGATGTATGTCAATGTATTTAGAGGCTTACAGCAGAATCCTTTAGGATATATTGAATGTTGTATAGTTATTGATCCCTGAGATCAGTTTTCCCTGAGGTTGGTGTTTGGTTGAGAAAACATAGAATCCCATTATGAAAGACTTGTTGCAGCATCACGGGTCTTTTATTATACCCTGTGTTATAAAAGTCTTTAAACAAATTGTGTACCGCTTTGTCATTCAAGTGCACGGGCTGGATGCTTAGAGGTGCAAAAATAAAGTAACGGCAGATAACTTTCCGTTAACGTCAGCTTTGGTCAAGATGGCTGTTTAAAATCCTTCCTATGCAGCAATGATGTGCCTAATATTGCTAGGCACTTTGAGAGTACTTTTAGCCTCTTTGTATGCCTTGGTAGTTATTCTTTCACATTGAGACATTTTTTTATGACTTTTTACTAATATTCCACTTGAATGGAAGAATGGTCCTTTTAAGGAAGAATGTGCTGCTGTACCTTTTCCTCCCCTCCCTCTACCCACTTGCCCTTTACCATCTAATCACTGTGGTAAATTTTGTTGACCAGTTTCTACTACAAGCATATGCCCAAAGACTTGTCTGACCATAGCATCTGATCTGAGGACTAAAATGGAGATAGTAAAGACCATCCATTTCCTGGTAAGTGACAAATCAGTGATTTGCCTCTAGTGCCTGTTTCTGCCCATTGTAAGGTGCTGCCTTTATATATACACTATGAAACTGTAACAGAAACAACTGTTTTGTGGTTCTACTTGATAGGAACAATGCAGGATGAAAAGCTCATTTAAGGCTCATATTCATGTTGTCAACCAGTACCCCAGAATATTTAAGTTTAGGTTAGGTCTGCATCCTCCCTCTGAGGTGACTATATTCCACATGATGCACTAGACAGCACAGTAAAGACAGTAGATACTTTCATGTCACTTGGGTCTGCTCTCAAGTGTGTGTTTTCTTTCCAGAGGATGCTGTTTCAAGGTCCAAATTTCTAGTATCAGATGATCTCAGGGAGTGCTGGTTTGTGTCGTGTCTTCCCATGTGTAGAAGATAACTTGTTCAAATTCCTGTTTCCTCCCTTCTAAGGAGGCTTCTACATGCTTTTGATGTTAGCTTTTTGTAACATTACAAGCAGGCTAGGGCAGCGGTCATTTCACCTCAACCAAATTCTGCAGTTGTTCTAGTGGCCTGTTTAGATGTTTCCATAAATGGAGGCCTTTCCCTTCAGAAAAATCTCTGAGTTGGTATTAGATAGGATTTCAAAGTACAGGCCAGAAAGCCCCACTAGCATCTAATGGATCTGTGTGAGTTGCACCAGCTGAACATCTGGTCCCCAGTTCACAGTACCAAAGCCATTAACCCCTCCCCTGTTGTATTCATTGGCCTGAGCATTATGCATCTGAAAATGCAAATGCTTTGGGTTAGAGTTAAGCTGAATTATTTTTCTGAAGCCATGTTTGCTTTGTGTTTGTTAAGCATGATTTTATTTTGTGGGGAAACATTTGTGCATTTTAATGCATCAGACTGTGTTGCCCTTTCAGAGAGAGCTTGCTCTGAAAGAGTTAATTTCAACCTGTGTTCAGCTGGGATGAAGAAACTGGTTCTTCTGTGTCCCTGCTTTCTATTCTCCCGTTGGCCTACTTCCCTCTGCTTGCATTTTGCATGCCTAATTCCATGAATAAATCAGGACCCAAGGATTTAGAAGGTGGTACAGCTGTAGCCACTCAGAAAATTGAACCTCTGAGACTTGTACTGCAGCTCTAACAACTGCCAGTGTGTGTGCTCCTGAACTCTTCTAATAACATCTAACTGCTACCAAAATAAAATTAACTTTGCCCTTTTTATGTAATGTTTAAGGGGTTTTTTTTGTGCCTACCCAGTGCCTCCTCGCTTGGCTCCCCTTGTCTTTTAGTTAAAAGCTCAGTTATAAGCCCTTTGGAGCAGGGCAGTTGCCTCCCAGCTGCTGTGGCAAAATGGTTTATTACAAATCTTGTCACAGAGGAGAAAAGAATAAGGGAAACTGAGGGATCTGACCTGTCTAAGGGTTCATCTGTACAGAATCACAGTACAGTCAAACTCTTGTCTGGCTGTGGTCCTAGATACTCTGATAACTTGTCATTAATAATACACACAGAACTGCTTTTATTTGTAGTGCTCTGGCTCCTGAGAATGTGTGAGGGAGCTTTTCGTGTGTTCTTTAGTCAGAGGACACACTCAAGTCTAGGTGAAGAACAACAAGCACTGGTAACAAGCTTGCTCTGGAGGATAGATATCTTGAAAGAACAAAGTCTCCAAGTATTTTTTTTCCAGGAAAGATGATTTATATTGTACTGATGGCTTTCCCTCATTATGGCTCTGCTTTTTAGAATAAAAGTAATGATTTTGAGCTGATGATGGTTTGATTTCACCAAACTTTTGCTTTTGACTAAGAAGGTCTTTTATGGTGGTGTGGTTTTTGGCACAGGATTCCTGAGGTCTGTATCTAGCTGTTAGACCTGCCCGAGTAACTCCCAAGTTGGCAAGAGAGGTATTGAACTACATAAATAATGTTTGGTAAAGTGCATATCTTGTGATGCTGCTTCATTTCTCTGCTTCTGTTTCCTGTCTTGTAGGAGTAAAAAGTCTGCATAATAGAGGGTAAGATTTAAAAAAAAAAAAAAAAAGCCTTAATTATTTTGACATCTCGTTTCCATTTTCAGGCTCACTACAGTCTTGCACAAACGTAGAAAGTAAAACAGTTGGTCTGCAAAAAAAGCTGCAGGTACCTTTCACAGGCTCTAAATACTATTTTAACCTTGACAGCATTTAGAAATCTGTAGGCTCAGATGCGATCCCACTCTGCAGCTTAGGAGTGAACATGCATCAGGCAAGCTTTGGTACCTGCCAGAAATGTGACACAATGGACTGTTCTAGTACAGGCTCGGTGACAGCATATGAAGTCATCGCAATGTGGCTGAGCTCCTGAGCCTCAGGTACTAAGTTTAGGTGCAAATTGCAACAGATACTTCTGAAAATTTTATTCTCAGTCTAAATCATTTGGGCTTTTCCTTTAAATTCAGTGATAAGCTTCTTGTGTGTATGTATATTTTTATATGCAGCTGTATCCCCATACAGTTTGGCTCGCTTCTCTCCAGTATCTGTGCTGCCTGTGAGTCTGAGCGTGATCTCTGCAGGAAGAGGTTGCTCTCTGCAGGTTTCCTCCCAACTCTCTCGCTAGAGTCTAGGCCTGTGACATTGCCATGATGTTTATTGTACACAGATCACTGAGCAGTTTCCTTTCTCTCGGGGTACCTCTGTTCTATGTCGAAGTGAATCTTCAGCAGCTCCTGTGTGATTGCTTTCCAGCTCCTTTGTGTGCTCGGCCCAGTAAATAAGGAGGGGGATGGAAAGCATGTTGTAAATGTGTTGACAGCTTTTGATGAACAAAACAGTCCCTGAAAACTGCCTGTCTGCCTTCCCCTTCTCTCCTGCATGTTTTTGCTTCCTTTCCTACCATTTTCTCCTCTCTTCTTTCTCCATCTCCCCCAAATTCTTTTTACACTCTTTTGACACCCACCACTTGCTCTTTTGGTGCTCGCTGCTCTGAAAAGATTTCTTCTCTCCCCTATATTCCTTCTCATTTCTCATTCAGGGGGACTGTTTCAATCCCTATGCAGGAACAAATGAAAAGGGGGATTAATTCTGTTTCTGAGTGCATGTCAGCTGTCTGCTTGTATCAGTTCTCTACCCATTCTTCTCTCTCACCCCAGGTACTGTGCTTTTACTAAGTATCCCACTGTCTTTCTAAACGCTTTCGGCAGGGTAGAATTTGTGCTTGGAAGATTTTTGTGCTTATTGATGCTAGCAAAGGAGGTACCGTTATTTATTTGACATCAGTTATTTAAACAAAAAAAGGAACAGGATGGTACAATATCTGGGCAACTATTCATAGGATTCTTCTCAAGCTGAATTTAGGGTCCTTAATTCTAGTTTTGTTCCTTCTTGTTAAAAAAAGGCTCTTTGTTCTCTACTCAAAGCATGCTTGCCTATCCAACGTGCTGGAACTGATGGGCAGATCTGTCCTTTTGTGTGAGATCTGTTCCTTCTGGCTTTCCCTTCGCAGGTAGGGACAGCATAACCACTGAGACTAGTGATCCTGCATCAAAACCGAATTACTGCTGTTTTGATGTGGATGGCTGTGTGAGAACTTGGTCTCATCTGTTACTTCAATTAGGAGCAGACCCAGATGAGGGAGCCCTGAGTCTCAGGAAAACAGAGATCTGTAGGCTCCTGGGGAGAAACAGGATTTCTTCAAGCCATAAGGGACCTTGTCCTGTCTACAAACCTTTCACCAAACCCTTCTTCAGCACCTGGGTCTGCAAGGACACTGTTGGTATTATGGCCCTAGGGAAAGTGCTTTTCTCTCTTCCCGTATTCTCCTTTTAGCAAAGATACACTTTCATATATATTCTCACTCAGCGTTTAGCTCTGTTCTTTGGTTTGGCTCTTCAGGATTTGGAGGCTGTTAGGTTATCAATGACTTATTTCTGCATGTAGGAACTTCCTAACCTCCAATTGCCTCTCCAGCCTGGGAATTATGCTCATCAGGCTCCACCAGCTGCTTCTCTGCTCAAAATGCTGTGTAGGTTACTCATCAGAGATTGCTTGACAAAATGCTGTGGCACTTTGTTCGAGGCAAAGATCAGTTGAATACAGGTGTATGAACATCCTCTAACGTACGCCTTCCTTGCTGCCGCTGCTTCGTGCTCCCCGAAGCCTGCCTTCACTTTGCATTCTGTGGCTGTGTTCTTGGTAGTGTTCTTGGTAGTGCTCTATTTAAGCAGTTTTTGAGAATTTATTCGACACTGGTAAATGGTAATTTTCCTTGCACAATCTACATTCTAGGTTCCTAGGGTAAATCATCAATTTATCCCAATTACAATATTTTAGAGAATGATGTGAGTTTTACTCAGAAAGTGAAAGAGTCTTGTTTCCAGAGGATGGTAATGCTTCATCTTCTGTACACAAGGGGAAGGTGATCCTCCTCTTTCAAGAGATGTGAGATTTCAAAGAAGGGAAGTTGTAGTGTTTGAAGAGAAGAGAGAGTATGCATTTTGGGAAACAATTCTCTGTGACAAGGACTGTTTTAGAAAAGGAAGTTAATGGGTGGGAGGTAATGGGAAGGAAAAGGTATAGCCTTTAACTGTATTGACACTTGAAGTATTGCATTGAAAATGCAAATGCTAAAGTTTTAGTTCATGTTTTTATTGGTTGGTAATTCAGGATACTTAGTGTTATGGATGATGTTCCAGCTTAAGAGTGATTTGGCCAAATTAATGTTGACTTTAGATAAGGAGAAAGTAATAGAGACTTTAGGGTCAGGCCAGGTGCAACTTTATCTAGATTTTCAAACTGAAAATACTGTTAGTATGTCTCCAGTTTTCACCACTGATTTTCAGCAAATGCATTTGTATTCAGAGTATTCTGCATTTTGTATGTTTAGCCAGTGTGGCTGATTCTGGTTTCACAAGTGTAAACTGGAATATCTTTCAATAATTTAAATTCATTTCAGCTCCGGTATTTTAAAGCGAATGATTCTGATCTAAATCAGAACCTGATTTCAATTTTATGTTCATGACTTATAATACCTGGCTTGATTTTTATCCATTATATGTTTGTACACTGCATTGTGCTAAATTGAGATGTCCCTGTTGGATAGATGAAAATTCTTGATTTTCCTAATAAAGTACGTATTTGCCATTTAGTAAAACATAAAGTGTCTGAAATGTTTTGTTAGGGAAAGGCCTACGGTAGGTACCACTGTGTTTTCTGGAAGTTGGGTTCTTTGAGTTCCTTGGGAGATTTTTTTTTATTAACTTCTCTTCAGAACTCAAAGCGCACACCAAATTTAGCATTCTGTCTCATAAACCTTCCAATATACTTTAAAAAGTTATAGTGCTTATGTGAAAAGCTGCATTTATGACAAATCTGAGTTTCTCTCCCTAATTTCCTTTGAGTTCTGAATTGGTCACCTGTTTGTCCTAATTATATCCTTAAAACACAAGGTATTGGGAGACTTAGGAAGATGCTTCCAGCCATGGAAGCAACTCTTTCACCAGAGATTCTGGTTTGTCTCAAAATTTAAGGTAAACTGACACTTTTTTTTTTCTTGCTGCATTTTGCTATCTCTTAAACTATCAATTTAGGATACAAGTGCTACAAAGACCTTGTTTTTGTGGTTCATGCTGTCAATGTCTCTGTGCTGATGTCTGTCTCGTGCATGTGTAACTTGGCTTGATATGCACTTACTTTGTTTATCTGTGTTGTCATATCCCTCATAGATACTGTTGGTGACAGATGCATGCTGCAGTTGGGTTTGGTCATGTTTCTCTGTAGAACGGTGTCTTGGGAATTGCCTGGATAGCCATTCCAGCACTGTTTTTTTCTTCCCCCATCACTCTCCTTACTTAACTCAGGATTTGTGTGAGTATGTATGCACAAAAATAGCCCAGCAAAAACTCTGCTCTTTTCTGTCTTCCTATCCGTATCTTCTTTTTTTTTTTTTCTTCTGGCCTAAATACAGTTTTCAGAATGAGTTTTGTTGCATCAGTACAGCTGTTATGGAAGCAGAAGCTATTGAAGCTTTCAAAAGCAGAAGGTGTGTGGAGTGACTATGTATTCTTGGGTTGGTACTCAAAGTATTCAGTGTTGCTCCTTTTGGAATCGACTATAAGGAGGTTGCTATTTAGAAAATCTCCTTTCAGCATAGTTACATGAGGTGTCTGTGCATTTTGCCTTGCTATGTGCTGATGGACTCTACTCCTGACTCCTGGTTCACCTACCTAGGATGAGTGGAGAGGCTTCTCAAGGTCAGCCACTCACCTGCTGGATGTTCTAGCTGATACCACCATGAGGAGCACACTGGCTTCTTGGGGATGCTTTCAAATATATTTTATTGAAGGTCAACTGTATTTTGACTGCTTTCTTCAGGATTAAATTGGCGACCTAGAAAAGCTTTTGATCCATTCACATCCACCTTTCGACAGTGGTGTGGGATTAGAAAGTTTTGTCCTTAGGGTCCCAAAACTGACTGGCAGCTAGACTTGGCCTCCCCTCCATGGCTGTCCCAGCAGTGGGTAACAGAGGTGGGTTGGGTATTGTTGCTCTATGAGACTATTTCCTGACCAGTGCTCCTCAGTGCACAGCCCATGGGAAGCCCCATGCCACTGAGAGTAGTTCATAGGATCAGAGAATGGTTTGGGTTGGAAGGGACCTTACCGTCCATCCAGTCCCACCCCCCTGCCACAGGCAGGAACACCTTCCACTAGCCTAGATTGCTCAAATCCCCGTCCAACCTGGCCTTGAACACTGCCAGGGAGGGGGCAGCCACAGCTTCTCTGGGCAACTTCTGCCACCCTCACCACCCTCACAGGGAAGAGTTTCTTCCCTATATCTAATCTAAATCTCCCCTTTTTCAGTTTAAAATCATTATTCCTCATCCTATCCCTGCACTCCCTGATCAAGAGTTCCTCCACCCTTTCCTGTAGCCCCTTTCAGTCCTGTGAGGCTGCTCTAAGCTCTCCCTGGAGCCTTCTCTTCTCCAGCTGAAACCCCCCAACTCTCTCAGCATGTCCTCACAGGGGGGTGCTCCAGCCCCCCGAGCATCTTCATGGCCTCCTTTGGCCCTGCTCGAGCAGGTCCGTGTCCTTCTGACATTGGTGCCCCCAGAGCTGGACACAGCACTGCAGGGGGGGGTCTCACAAGAGCAGAGCAAAGGGGGAGAATCCTCTCCCTGTACCCGCTGGCCACACTGCTCTGGGTGCAGCCCAGGACACGGTTGATAGTTTGACAGTTGTGTTTTCCATTGCTGGAAGAGAGGTGTCTTGGCCAGAAATTATTTTCAGAAATGTAGTGGAATTGTGAAGCTGTTATTACATATCTATTCTCTGGGTTTGAATGAACCAAATACACCTCAAAATGCAGATTCAGCTGTCCTACTGTTTGTGAGCAATAAATGTATGAAAATGGGCAACGGCAGTGGCATTTCTGTAGAATGTGACTATGAGTAGAAAGTTAACATCTTTAGTCTGTCAGCTCTGGGAAAAGAAGGGCTAAGGCTCATTAAAGTTTGTTCTGACGAAGGCCAAGATGATCATGTTTCCCAAGTTTTAATTTTCCCAGGGAGAGGCCAAGACAACCTGTGGCTAAAGCATGGGACTGGGATCAGATTTGAATCTTCTTTCTGACCAAGACATGTAATATGGGAATAACATCTTGAGCATTTTGAAATCTTTGGGTGGAATGATCTGAAGAACTGCAAACTGTTATGTGTGGACTGAAATCCCAGCTCCAGGTCTGCTTGTGTCCTCAGCCAAGTTAGGAGCTCAAACCCTTCTGTTACTCATGAGCTGAGACAAAATACCCTGACATTTAAAAAAACATAGATCAGGATTGTTTCCCAACTTGGAGAATTGGTTCTTCCTTTACTTATTTTCATTAGAAAAGAAAATTAGGAAACATACCTGAAATTAAGTGATTATCCTATTTTTGCTCCTTAACTTTAATTTTAAAATGGGCTATTTTTAAGTTATTAAATCTTGTGCCAGACACCCAAATTGCGGTTAAGAAAGGAGGTGAATGTGTCTGGCATTTTCCAGCACATGCATGGCCATATCTAACCTAAAATGAGAGCAGCAAGTGTTGAAAGGCAGTGGGGAGATGTCGGCAAGCAGTGGGAAGCGTGTCTGAGCCCAGCAGCCTGTGTCGGGTCTCCAGAGGTCAGACCACAACACCTTTTGTGCATTTGTATTTCCCCCCCCTCCCTTTTTTTTCTCCCTCTACATGTGTATTTTGTCTCCTCCTCCTGTGTGTGTGTCTGTCTTTGCATCTCCATTCTTATCCCTCCCCTCCTCCAGACTAATCGCTGACCAAGGAGATCTCCAAAGGGCTGAGCACTTTGTGGGATCGTCCTTGTCCCTCCTTGTTTGCCGAGTCAAGGGTATCTCTTTGCAGGCTTGGAGAGATGCTGTTACTCCTGGTGATGTGATTGCATAGCAACACAGCAGCGCTGGGTGGTGGAGGAGGAGAGGCCGGCAGCGTGCGACAGCAGCGCTCAGCCTCAGCATGCATCCCTGTCACAGGGACTCCTTTGCTGATTCACAGAGGCAGACCCAGTCCCTGCTCCCGAAGCCTGGCGACCGCTGCCCCTCATCTCTCGGACCTGGTGGACCTGGAAGGTAGGCCATGACAAAATTTGTTTGCCTATTGGATCCTGGCTTGGCTGGAAAAGGGGAAAATATTGACTATGGGTTAACCTCAGAAATACTCTCTTTGGCGGGTGTGTGTGTATCCATTCACAGTAACGCTGTCCATGTACATGCGGGTGAGGAAACTTGCAGAGAAGAAAAGTGTGTCGGGGGGACACGGTGGGAGCAAGAGAGGTGGTCAAGACTGTTTTCACAAGGGAGAGGCTGGAGCCAGTAATATGTATTCCTAAGGCAAACAATAGTAGCCAGCATCCCGATTTCACCAGCTTTGATTCTTTGCACGCTGAAGGCTTATTCACCCTGGCAGTGTTTTCACCTGAGCTGAAGGACTGCTCGGAGCAGGGTGTGTGGTGGCCTTCTATCATCCTCCTGGGAGGATTAAACAGCAGGGCAAGGCAGAAACCCAAGTATTTCTCGCATAGTAACCTGGGATCAGACTCTAGTCCCAGCTCTGCCCTCTTCATTCACTGCCTTACCCAGTCCAGTCTTGCCCCTTTTTGTGTCTGCCCTCCCCTCCCCCAGCTTCTCTCCAATCCCTTTCACTCGTTCCTCCTCCTCCTCTCTCGAGGCCTTATATTGCCACCGCTGGCCTTCCCTTTGCTGCGGGCAGCCCGAGCACTGCCCGCAGGAGACACAGGACCTTTTCTGCTCCCCAGGGCTCAGCACTCTGCCTGGGTCTCCACAGCAGCTAGGGCAGCTTGGGCACTGGTTCACCAAGGTTTAGTGCAACTTTGCACAACAGATTATTACCAGTCCTCAGTCCAGCCCATTCCCTTCAGCTTCCCCTCTGACATGGCGCTGCAGGCATAGGGTCTGCTGGAGGAACTACCAGCACCGTATTCACAGGGGCTCGATGCTCAGATTGCCTGTGTACAGTGACAGGGCTGTGGAGCAATCACTGCCACTTTTAAACCCTGCGCTGTCTGTGTGAGAAACCAATGTTTGTTTGGGTTTTGGTTGTTGCTGTTGAAAAAAAAATATCTATAGTCAAATCTTTGTCAATCTGTCTTTTACCTGTGCCTTAATCCAAGGTCCTTCACACCTTCTTTCTGGCTGCTGCTCACCAACCTCTCTGGAGCTCTGAGAGTTCTTGCTTGGTTAGTCCCTTTAATGGCCTTTCTTGTCTGACCACAGTGCTCATACAGCAGCACACTGTGCAAAGTCCCAGCTACAAGGCTCAGTCGCGTCGGGAGGGTTTCTGTTTTTCTGGCAGCTGTGTGTAGCGCGTGTGCCTGCCGTGGCTCTGGTGCCATCTCGCATCCTCCCCTGCCAGTTCCCCATGCTGAAAGCTGCTTTCTCTGCTGCTGCAGGAATTGGCCAGGCAGGGCTCTGGTGACAACAACCGTGTGATGGCACTCTGCAAAGGAACCAGACTATAGACGTGCGATTTCAAACTATCTTGTTTAGCAGCACTGTGCCCAGGAATGTGGGTGCCTGGAATTCTGGACCAGAAAGGCGTTGGAGTGGGTGTTGTGATGCTGTGTTCAGGTCCTTTTTGTTAATTGAAGAAATTAAGATGAGGACTATCTCTCTCTGGGTTAACCTGAGATAGGTCAATCCTACTCCCTAAATTGGCCAGGACTGTAACCATGAATGGGGTTGCTCATGTTGGAGTGACTCTTTTCAAAGCTAAAGAAAGTGAGATAGAGAAGGGATATTAAATGAATGCATTCAAAAAAACGTCCTGAGTTCTGGAGACATCTGGTGAATTTCTGATTGTAATACTATTTTGAGAAATATATTCAAGGCCTCCACTTTAGGCTGGATACCTAAAAGCAGAAAAGATGAATTCTAAATCTCATGAAACAAGACATACTGAAAGAAAAAAATCAGACTTCAAAAAGCCCTCATTTTCATAGGTGTATTGAGATGAAACTGAGCTTTTCAGAATTGAGCCAAAATAGCTCCATCCCATTTTCCTTTGCTGTTTCCCTTCGCATAAGAATAAGGTTGCTCTGATACATCTCAAGAAAGGAGAGGAAATGTGACTTTGTGGCACACAGCCTGCTTATAAAACACATGGTCTCAGAAGGCCAGAGAAACCCCTGCTTTGACTGGGAGTTTATTATAATGACAAGCTTGTTGAGGGCAAGGCAGAATATTCAGTACAGAGAAATAGATTTTAGTTTGACACTGAGAATGAAAAACAAAGTGTCAAGGAAGCCAAAAGTTAGCACAGCGTTACCCTGGTTGTTGCTGGTGGTGGGTGTGCTCTTTCCACTGTTGCTGATCCCTTACAATAATGGGTGCCAATGGGTGATGTGCTTTTCACAATGCAGCAAGACTGTTTCCTGCCTCTAACAGCAGGGAAGGGAAAGCTCAAGTTTTTAGAGGAGATAGGAAAATAGAAGACTCGGGATTTTTAGTTGGTTTAAATAAGCTGGTTTCAGGGCTGGTTGCAGGATACAAGTGAGTCTGAAGAATTGGGTTCAGTTTTATGGTTGGTGTGACCTTTTGGTCACTAGACAAATTATTGCCCCCCCACTGTCCCATTTGGGAGGTTGGAGGATATTTACTTCTTCCCCTGCTCCTTTTGCCTGTCAGGTCTATCAGACAGCAACTTCTCTGTGTCCAGCACAGTGGGGCTGTGTGTTCACAGCTGGGTCCTCAAGGTGCTTAGGTAATTATTTGTAGTACTTGTCTAATCAAAGGAGGAGGAGGAGGAGAAGAGATGGGCAGAATTCCTAGGCAAAGGGAGTTTTTGAGAGAGCAGCTTAAAACCCAGCTGGGAGTCTGAAAAGGCATATGAAAGAAATTTAGATTTCAATCTTCCTAAATAAATTCCCATAAGGTTGTTTTTGTTGGGTTTTTGTGTTGGTTTTTGTTTTTTTTTTTTTTAAGCAGAGAGAGAAGCAGAGTTCTGCATGACCATGTTGTGGACATGCAGCCACACTCACCTGGTTAGCTGGGGACATCATCGTCCCAGTTTCCTGGTGCAAGACTAACCAGTGACATTTTTCAGCTTCAGTTTCTGTGTGCATGTGTTGTTCTGCTTGGGAAAATGGAGAGGGAGTGAGCCAACAGAAAAGATGCTGCTTCTTTATTAGGACCTGTGGCACCTATTTATCTGTTGAATTAAAATCACATTTTGGTTGTGAGCTCGGAGTCAAAGTGGCCGTTTAAGAGTGCAGATTAGATGTGAGAGTGCTCCACTTCATCCACCCTCAGTGAGTAAGGCATCTTCTCTGCTATTTGCTCACTACCAGATACAATCTCTGCTGTATGTTACTACTTAAGGACAGCTCCTTAATTGAAGGACCCTTCATTCTAATTAATGAAGGGGACCTGGTACTTAGGTGGAAGTGCAGTGTGAAGCTCAGCTGCAGCTTTGGTATCTGGGGTTTTTTAGCCCTTGTATGATGGGGTTGTAAATGCCTGCTCATGTGGAAGATGGTAAAGATGGAAGCAAAGGGCCTGTGCTCTAAGAGTGAGTTTTGTTGTATGTATGCTTGGTCCCAGTGGGGTAAAGACTCCTCTTCCTTCTCTCTCACCAAACCATGACCTAGTGGGGTCTTGGGAATTAGGTCTGCTGGCCCTCGATCTCAGGCTTAAACTATTTACTTACACATGCAGAAAACAATTTTTGTGGGAAGAGGATGTGTTATTGCACCGTCAAGGGAGTCCTGCTGTCTGCCAGCTTGGGAATGCTCCCTTTGTTAGCATCTACATGGGAGCTGAACTTTGAAATATCCACAGGCCTCCCACCTTTCCCCTCAAAGGACACTGATCATGCTGAGCTAAAATGTTATTACTTCTCTTGTACAGTAAGTTAAACAACAACAAAGTCATTAACATTTCCAGCAGCAGGGAACGTGTTTGTGTTTCCATTCCCCTCATGGGATAAAGGCTGAGCTGCCTTGCTTCGAAATGTTGCCATATTTTTTCCTTATAGGCCAAGATCTGAAGTGGAAAGTTTTAGCCTGGAAAGAATGTTTTGGAGGAGATTAGCAATTCAAAGCAGAAGCCTTGTGATTGAGAGACCTCTTGACCTGTGTTGTCTTTGCTGCTGTTATATGTGGTAGAGACCCAGAAATTCAAAAGCTGACATCAAACTCTAGCTTCAGTGGCAGGTCCCTAATCCTGAGGGTTACCTTTAGCGATGCAGGTCAGCTCCAGTAAGAATTCCCTTGATGTCTGAGAGAGTTTGGATCTGGATTTGTATCAGGAGGATTTTAAACGAATGCAGAAAAATTATAGAAATACACTGTGCAGTGTGTGCACTGGTGTCATCTTACTGTTGGCTGGGATGGAAAAGAGATGCTGCAGGAGACAGGCCATAGCCTGTGTTCCTGAGCACTGCCTCTGGCTGGCCAGTGCTGCTGTTGCATGGGTCTGTAAGTAGAAAGAGTGCAGAGATCACTGAGCAAAGTTGTGTGGTGGAACTGAAACAGAACTGGTTGAGCAAAGGCTGTTCCAGCTGCCTATGTCAGATGGCCTGGAAAACAGTGAAGTGAGGCAGGCTTGCCAGTGCTGAATTTGTAATAGGTACAGGGCATGTAGAAAGAGGAAAAAGGCAACTGCTTTGTTTTGAATACACCCTAATGCCCAAGCATTCAACTGTTGAAATGGACCATCAAGATTTTTGGCTTTCTTATTTTTCAACTAGAGGATTATCATGGTCTCCAACCAGGCTAAACAGTTGTGGCTTGGCTGCTAACGTGTTTGGAAGATGTAACAACACTGTGAAACATCTAATGTTTTATTTCTTAAGATGTGCTAGAACAGGGGTGATTTTTGGGTGCTTTTCATGTGGGAGGATGCAAAGCACTATCATGTAACAAGGTTGTACCTGATCCTTCTGAGGAAGGGTCTCACCACCTTTGGGCTTGGAGTGGGGACCTCCAGCAAAGACCAGGTGAGGCACACCAGTGGGAAGGGTTTCACTCCTTGTCCTATCCACTGTATGAGTGCAGTGCCCCAGTGCCTGCTCTGTGGTGACTGTAAGACTGCTGCTTGCAATGTTCTCCTATGGGTATTCTCACCTGCTTCTGTATGTGGGCCTTGATGATTTTCCTTCCTGCACAGAAATATGCCCAGGGGATCAACCTTACTTTAAACCTGGTTGAACTGCCTGACCACATTGCCTCCTCATCCTCCAAAGGAGAATTTTTCAAGGAGAGGCTTGTAGTAGGCTGTGGGAATTACAGTTTTAGTTGCCAACACTTAAATCTTTCTTGATTGATGGTGTCCCTTGACTGTAGTACGCCAGGTCTCCAGGACCAACCTAGAGCAGAGTGTAGAGAGTGAATGCTGCTATGCAAGAGGCAAAGTGGATCACTCATTCAATTCTTGGCAGGTGTAGGCAGCAGGCAATAGATACTTATCCAGGAAGCATCCACAGAACACCTACTCCACATGCTGCAGTGCCTAGACACAGTGCTGTACAGAAGCACTGAAGTAAAAGTGCAAGAGTTGGAGCTATTTTGTGTGCCGGAGCAGAGCAGATCAAGAGCATTCTGCTTGCCTGGTTCCTGTAATAGCAGGGAATTTGGCAAGGGACCATATGTAGCTGTCAGTTTGTTTGCAGTCGTGCCTCACTCTCCCAGTGAATGTGCTCCTTTGTGCTGGCTGCCATGCAGCTGAGCTATTTCCACATTATCTTGGTTCTCCACATCTGGGCTTTGTCTTTGCTATTGCAGAGTGGCAAAGAGCAGCTGAGCCACTGCCTTCAAATCTGAGTCAGCAAGATATTGCACAGGACATGCTTGAGGTAGTGGTTTTTGCTGCCACTTCGCTTTCCAGCTTGGTCTTGCTCTTTGCTGCCTCAGAAACCTTTTAGTTTCCTTGTGCCATGGCTTTGTGTCCTGATGGACCTTGTTGTCGCTGACGGAGTTCAGGAGCCCAGCACTCTGGAGGTGAGGCAAGGGCTGTTCTTATTTCCATAACTCTGGCAGAGAGCATGGAGACCAACCATGTCCTATGCATGGACACCCATATGACATGGTTTACCCATCTCTGTCTCCAGAACCACACCTGCCCTGCGCATGGAGACTTATCCTTGACCAAAATGCAATAAGATCAGAGCTAGTGACCTTCCCAGTATTGCTCCTCCTGTTCCACAGTGCTGGAGGGAGTAACAAGATACCAGGCTGTGCTGGGAGAATTGGGAATGCAGGGCACCTGTGTGTGATGTTGGAGGGGCTGGCTGAACCCTGGCCAGCACCATCACTGCAGTCACCTGGAACTGCACCGCAGAGGAACTGAGCCCTCGAGAGGGCAGCTGCAAGGAGATGTCACTGAACCTCATTGGCAAAAGCCATGGATTTCCCAGTCATGCAGTAGGGCTCAATGGCATTCCTCTGACGGAGGCTTTGAGGCTAAATAACTTTTCATGCCCTGAGAATTGTACCTTGGCTAGATTGACCCTCATTTAGAAGTCATTTACAGGATCAGGGACAGCTGAGACCCCACATAGCACAAGTGTTGGAGGAATATGATGAGTTGTTACCTGCTGTCAAAGACAGAAATCATCCACTGTACCCTTGGGGTTGCATGAAGTGAATTTGCCCCAAGAGGCTGGGAGGCTTTGAAGATCCTGCTATTTATAAATATTAATGTGTCCTGATAACCCTGTCTGCATGGGGAAAGGTGTGGGGCAAGGCTGCTGCAACGCCCAGGCTGCAATGTTCATTTGTGAAAATGGGCAGGGGGGGTAGAGGACAGGACCTCGGATTGCTGGCATGTTGGAGAACTCAACACAGGCTGTTCTGCTGGAGGAGGAGAGAATTATGGCTGTAGAAATTGCTAAGGGATTAAAAAAGTCACAACAGGATAAGCTGTTCTCTTAATGTGTGTAATGGAGAGGGAAGAGGCAGTGAAAGCTCAGGCAGGGGAGTGAGGGATGTGAAAGCGTGAGCAATGGGCAGTGTGTGCCAGGGCCTGGGGGCTTTCTCCTTGCCCAGCTCTGCAGTGTGATTGCTGGCTGTGCAGGACACTCTGCTTGCTCCTGCCCTGCCAGTACCAAGCAGGAGGTTTCTCAGGTGGCCCAGGTGAGCTGGGTGTGGAGGAGACAACAGCCTCCTTCCAGCCACATTGCTCCATCCGTACCTTGGAATCAGCCCCATCTCCACTTGGGCAGGAGGTCTGGCTGCTGGAGCCAGGGGATAGTTCCTTTCTAAAAGCAGGAAAGCTGTTACCAAGTTAGGCCGTGGGTTGGGCAGGAGACAGCCGGGTCTCTCAGAACTGCCTCTTGACCTGCCACATGCAGTATTCACCCTTGATGTGCTTGATGTGCAAAGCCCTGTGTAGCATTCACAGCTTTTTTTTTTTTTTACATTAGGTCTACATCCTGCTGTGAACATGTTGGTGCTCAGCTCTTTTTATGATGCTACCACTGACCAAATATAGAGTTGTGTGATTATGCTTCAGTTTTATAAACTTGCCAGATTCAGGTAAATATTACTTTGCACCTTTTTCTCTGGACTCTATTTTCTTGTGGCGTTCTTTAAAGCCAAGATGATGCTGGCAATGGGATAAATCACTAATTTAGCTTATTCAGAGTCCAAACAACAACAAAAGCAGCACTGTGACCAGAGGTGGTGTTTTAGATCTGTAGAACAAACAAGGGGCCACTGCTAACTGACCTTATGGGTCATGCAGTTTTAAAAACAGAATAAAAAAGGGAATCTTATAACTCATCATGAGTAAAAACTCATAAAAAGGTAGCTGATAGTGCAGGATGCATGTATGGAAGACTGAGGCTGTAATTTTCCTTCTGAACATAAAAGAAGAAAATATGTTTGAAAATATTTTTTATGGGGATATGTCTATTATATCTAAACATAAGTGGTCATGACAGCGAGATTCCCTCTTCCCTTAAACCCTAGGCATCTCATGTAGTTAAGAAACCCAACCCTTTATAATAATCCACAGATTATGTTGTATTTTTCACACCAACACAGGGTATCATTAGAACAAACTGTATAACTAGATGCAAAAAAAGAGGTGCATGTTTAGATGAAAAAAGATTTCAACATTAGTACAACTGTATTAAAAATAAAACCATCTCTTTAGCCTTCAGCCTTTTGTGAAGGCAGCGCACTAGGTAGCTGGGAAGGGGGTCAGCCCCATGAGGGAGGTGCAAGCTGACCCGGAGACTCTCATTCTGCTTTTCAGGTGCTTGTGCCCAGAGCTGTCTCCATCCCCATGAACATTGGTTCTGATGCAGCCCTTGGTGATGCAGGAATGGCCCTATGTCCTCCCGCGATGTCCTGAGTGGCACATCACAGAGCAGGTGCAGCACAGCAACACTGCCCACTCACTGTCTCAGGTAAGAGCTGGGTCCAAGACCCTTTCTCAGGGAAGCTTTTTGCAGCAGTTGCAAAGGTCTGTGGAGCAAACTGGGACTTCTGTTCTTGGTGGCAGGGGAAGATGTTAGCTCAGGCTCCCCATCAGTTTGCATTTAATGAGACTCTTAGCTCTCCTCAAGCGTTTTGGCTGCAAAGTGTTTCTCAAAGTAGAGCAAGAGAGACAACCTGCAGAGCTGGATTTCAAGCTTCCTTCAAAATAAAGAGCAAGATGCCACTGTTAACAGCTCTTGTGTATTTGGTTTGGTTTACTTTTTTTCTTGGAAACGTGGAAGAATGTCAGCTTTTGCTGAAAATACAGGTTTCTAACCTTCCTGGTTGCAGAGAAGATCTTGGAAATAAGCCCCTGGCAAATGCTGTAAGGAGAGGAGGAGACTGACCTCTTTCTAGTCTAGCTCTCTTGAGGAACAGAGAGTGGGTGCTCACACTGTTGGTCTCCCTCCTCCTTCCTGGAGGATCTCTGAGCCAGCAGGCCAGGCTCCAAAGCTGGGCAGAGAGGTGAAGTTCTCTGGGATCGCCAGGCAAATGGCAGGGCAGAGTGGAGAACAGAGCAGAGGAGTGTTGGGGGCTGTTTGCAAAGCTGCCTGTTCTCTGCACGGAGCTGTCGTCACAAGCCGGCTTAGCACCTTGTCCTGGGTCACCCAGGACAGCAAGGCTGGGGACATGCTGCCTCAGCTCTGCTAGAGCATGGCTTCCCTCTTGCTGCCTGTAGCTGTTGGCCTTAGGTTACCTCTCACTTGACAAGAGACTGATGGATGGTGCTATGTTTTTTATTGGACACTGGCAGTGCTGTTCCCAGGACGAATCAGGTCCTTGGCTCTGCCTATTTTTTCTTCCATCATGCTTCAAATATGAAGAGAAAAGGCTGAGCCTGGGGTTCCTCCCTGCTGTGACTTGCCATCAGTGTGGACCCATCCTGCCCCAGAGAGCTGGGGTCTGCAGGAGGAAGGCAGAGCTGTCTCTGGAGAGGCTCCAACACGCAATGATGAGGCTTGCAGCTGGGGCAGGCTCTTGGTAGCTGAGTCATGACTTAATGATCCTGGAGTGGCTGTTAAGTAGCTGCTACCAGGCCAGTGCATGGGTGGTTAATGAACACCCCAGCAAATGAAGTGAGAAGGGAGATGAGCAGGCATATGCCCTCCTGAGCTGCCTGAGCAGTTCAAGACTCTGTAAGGGTGCCAGAGCCCTGTGGGGTTTGCTGGGGGAGGGGAGCTGGGGCAGGATGCTCTGTGGGACCCACCGCCACCAAGCTGAAAGATGGCACATGAGGAGGGTGCAAACACCCTCAGCTCAAGTCATATCCACCACAGGTTTCCCCAGTCCCTGCCTGAGCCTGGCTTTCTGCTGTGTGGCCATCAGTGTGCTGGGTGCCATGCACCAGCTGGCTGCTGGCTCCTGCAGTGTTAAGGACAGCCTGTCTCCTTCAGAGGGTCTGTTGTGCCCTCCTTCCCACAGGTGTAGGTATTGCCACCTAGGAAAAAGACTTCCTCTCATGTCCTTGCTGGTTCTGAAAGCTCCTGGCAGGCTGCAGACAACCCATCTTTAGTTGTGTCTGGCCTTGCTGAATCCCCTCCTCCAGTCTGAGAGCTATTCCTGCATCTGTTGGGCCTAGGGGGTGGTGGGCAGAGGAAGCTGCCCATGCTAGTCCCCGAGGGACAGACAGCAGCAGTCAGATGTGCAGGCAGGGAAGGAGGGGAAGAGGAGAGATACAGGGAGCTTTTCATTCCCTCCCTGTAGGTGGAGGAGAGCATGGAAACAATGCTGGGCGGCAGAACTGTGGGGGGCACCAGGAGCCAGCCCAGAGCCTTCTGGCAAAAACAAACTATTTTCACCCAGTCCAGGCGGGCAGGAACATCTGTGCTGGCACCCAGTGCTTGGCTGGGGCACGTGGAGGGCAAGGAGGGCATCTTTAGCTTCTTGGGGGTTAGGTCTCAAGGACCTGACTATTTACCTTCCAGGTAGCCAATGCTTGCTGGGACCATTCCCTGGGTAAATCTCTTCACTGTCTAACACCTGGCTGCCCTGCATGTGCTCCAGCCTCTGAAGGAAAGGTCTCTGCTGGTCACCTCATCCCCATCACTTTTGCCATGCCCTCTCAGAGGATCTTCCCCAGTGCCTGGACCAATCCCTCTGCGGACATCCAGCTTCCTGCAAGGGGCTTTCCTATGCTGGGGTGCCCTGCAGCAGGCAGATCTCTGCCCAATTTCTGTTTTGTGGGCAGCCACGATGTCACCACTGGGGTTAAGGCAGGTTGGAGGCTGCTGGAATGCCACTGGACAAAGCTGGGATTGAGGCACTGCCGCCCCCCTCCAGATTCCTGGGGGGTCAGTGCTCCGGGTGCCCCGCTCTGCAAAGCACACAGCACTTGCCTGCTTCCCTGCCGGGTGCTGCCTGGTGGCACCCGGAGGGGTGGGAGGCGATGCCTGCTCCTCCAGTGGAGCTGAGCGGCCCTGCGACAGATCTGTGGCTAAACACAGGTACATGCGCCGGCCAGAGTCTGCGTGAGTGTTCTGCGCTTGAAAATAAAGATGTTCAAGGGTGGGGGGCAGTGTAGATCCAGGCTCTGCTGCTGGGGCTCTGGGGAAGGGATGCTTAGGGGGTGCTTAGGAAAAGAGCTGCTCTTTCCCTCTGCTCACTGCAGGGGTGTTGCCCTAGGGGAGCAGATGTTCAGCACTTGGCCCTTGCTCAGCCATTGTCACTGCCTCATCTACTGGGCATGGTCTGTGAGTTACAGCCTTGGTGGGCTTTTAACTTCTTAAACAAGGCTGAGAGGACTGTCGTCTGCTGAGATGTTCTGCAGTTACAGTGGCACCCAGGTAGAGCTAATTCCCCTCCCTTGGGATAGAGGGGAGGGCTGGTGTGTTCCCTGGCAGCACTGCAGTGATAACCTACTGCAGTGTCATGAGGATGTGCACATGTGAAGTATAGATTTTTCTACATGCAAGCTACAGTTTTAGCTTGAGTGGTTTATTATTCATGGCCCCGAGATTCCTGTGAACTCTGTGATGGTTTTCTCTGTTTTCTTGATGCTCCTGAAGTGGCAGGATGGGGAGGTAGAGAACAGCCTAGTGTTAGATGTTTTTAGGTGAAGTAAATTTAGCACCAGTCTCAGCGATCATTTGATTTCTCTCTGAAAACTGGTGTGGAGAGTGTGGTGTTTTAGCTGTTCAGCCAAATTCCTTGTCTGGTGGTTTTCTTGTGTCTGTTGTTCTCCTTGGCTTGTCTGGATCTGTCCCCTGGACACCTCCAGGACTACTTGGACAGGACAAATGACAAGTTCTTGGAACATTCCCCTCAGAATAGCTGCTGCTTTCCTCCAGAGGCAGCTGCTCTTCTCTGGCAAAGGTGTGCTGTATATGCTGTTTAGAAAGTGCTAATGCAGTTAATTATGGTTGATTAATCACCTGGGGATAATCATCACAAATGAGCTCTAATATCAAAGTAACATTAGATTGAAGTGCTGCAATTTCCCCAACAAAACGCATCAACATCTCACTGGTGGAAACGCAGTGTGTCCGTGTGTTTTGCACAACAAACTGTTTTTTGGAGGGGAAATCCCCTTTCACTCACTGAGTCCTATGTGAGATGCTTTTTGTCATGCTGGTGAGCTGCTGTCGCTAGCAAATGCGATGATGTCTTTGCTGCCATCACAAGCGGGAGCATGATATGGTGCTAAAGGCTTAGGGGAGGATTGCTTCCCCCATCCACCAAGGATTTGTGGTCCAGCAATCAGCACCCAGTTTTCAGGCTGAGTGACGTGGTACAAAGTGTGCTTCCTTTGTGTGCCTGAGTTAGGCTTTGATGTCATGTGCTCCACAGCCTTTTAGAGCATCCTTCCCACCACTGCTTGTTCAGGAGAGGTGTGGAGGAGAAGCAGCATCTCAAATTTGCTGTGCAAGCAGGGAATATCCATGTGCTTCTGTAGAGGAGCAGGTGGCAGCTCCCAGTATTGGGATGGTGTAAAGGAGCTTGGCAGGTCCCCTTGGTCCCTAGGAACAACAGGTCTTATGGTTCTTTTGCCATCTTAAAGCACAGCAGCCCTGTATGGTGTAGAAAAAAATATCACCGTTAGCCCTGCAGGGGCCACACAAGGGTCAGCTCTCATTCAATACCTAACAGTGAGATAAGTTAATTGCTGATAATGAAGTAGTGCAGAGATCCTGCAGAACAGGAGCTGTTCAGTAAGCCCTTCCTTCAGTCTTTGCTTCTACTGCTGCTGGAGCTGGCACTGCATCCTTCCTCCAGACATGGCCATCGGCTTCCCTGGAGCTGCTAACAGAACCCTCTGGGAGCAGGGCAGCTCCTTTTCGAGTTGAAAAGCCAGGCAGAGTCAGGACAGAGATGGGTAGGTGTCCACAGGCAAGTGCCATAAGCAGTGAGCAGTGACTTCCGGATGCAGCATGGTTCTGTTTCTGCCTAGGTTGAAGCCTCGCAGGATGGTGCAGGACCTTCCTGTGTAATCCCCCGGGCTCCAAGCAGCGCTGCTGGGCTCCAGGCCCCTCTGGAGATGAATCTTTGCTGGAACGAGATCAAAAAGAAATCCCACAGCCTTCGGTAAGAGTCCCTGCCTGGAGCAAGCTCCAAGGTTGACCTGGCCTTCCAGCCTTGCCTGTTGCATGTGCTCGTCAGAAAGTTTTTGAACTTGTTCACTTGATGAGCCACACAAATTCACTGTGTGGTTGGCTCGGTTTTCCTCTTGTCCACAGACCTCTGAGCCTTTTCTTGCTATACAAAAGCATTCCCTCCATTTCCACTCATCCCCTCCTCTTCCTCCCTTCCTTCACTCCTGCTTGCTTTCTGCTGCTTTCTCCATCCTCTGGTGCTGCTGTCTCTGCAGCTTGACTCTTAATGCCCCACAGCCTTGCCGCCACCCCCTCTGTGCTTTTCTTTTTGCTGGGAGCCCTCTTCACCATGTGGGGGGAACATGCCTTCCAGATTGTCAGAGGATTAATCTCCCCATCCAGCATGACAGAGAGCTTAACTGGGGCATGTTAATTGTCTCCTGCCTTAATGCAAGGCTTCTGGAAGCTGCCCAGTTGTGTAAATGATGAACCAAGACCACTGCGCTACCCAGAGCACAGCCCTGACCCACAGGCAAATGCAGAGAGACACTGTCCTCTGCTCCGGGCTCCAGGGTGATGAATAACTTCAGTTTCCTCTCCCCAAGACCTCTGTGCTTCTCCCCACCTGGCTGTGAAGCACCTGTGCTGGGTGAAGGTTGTGCACAGCCTGTGCTGAGGGGTGCTGCAGTCACTGGTGGGGTCCTGCAGGTGTCTGGGGGTCACCATCCCAGCCATGCTGCTGTGCCTCCCCTCCCCAGACAACCTGCTCCTGTCCTGTCTGTCTGACTACTATCCTGCTGTCCCCTCTCTTCTGCCAGGGCTCGGCTGGAGGCCTTTTCTGACCACAGTGGAAAACTGCAGGTGCCTCTCCAGGAGATCATAGACTGGCTCGGGCAGAAGGATGAGGAGCTCTCGGCACAGCTGCCCCTGCAGGGGGATGTCCTCCTGGTGCAACAGGAAAAGGAGACGCATGCGGTATGTTCCCTCCTACCTTCCCTGCTGCTCTTCACTGCTGAGATGAGCTGCAGGTGGGCAGCCCTGCCTGGGACCCCTGCCTCATGCCACTGCTCATGCCCACAGCCTGTGAGTGCACGTCCTTGCCTTCCTCCATTTTGGTTTCCTGTGGAAAGGCAGAGCCCCACCAAATACCATGTGAGAGGTGGAGCCCACCTGGTTATAGACAACTGATCTGCATTACAGCCTCAAGTCATCTGCAGGTGCTGCAGCTGGTAGTGGGCCCTGTCACTTCTAGTTTCCTCCTGATGTTCTACTTATGCAACAGAGGGAATTGCCTCTCACTGGCCTCTACTTTTGGGATCCCCTCTTGAGGAGGTTGGTTGGTCTAAAGGTGACCCAGTGGTCAGGACATGAGTGATTCCTGCAGTAGCACATTATCATTGTATCTGAAACTGGGGTAAAGCTACACAGACCGGAGTTTTCTGCTTCCCTGAGCAGAGCATTTCCTTCTTGCTGGCAGTGGATATTGGGCTTTAGTTGTTTTTACTTTGAAAACAAAACTAAACTGTTGCTTGTTGTTATCTCTCATCCTGGCTGGAATTAGCCACTTCCCTGGCACACAAATAGACAACCCATCAGACAGCACCAGTGGGAGGATGCAGCTGGAGGGGAAGGAGAGGGCATCCTAAACCAGCCTGCCTCTGAAGTCTGCCCTGGCAGATGTGCTGCTTTGGGGCATCCTGCTGCTCCCCTCCTTGCTCCTTCAGCAGCTGGACTTGTTGTTGGAAGCTGCTGGAAGGACTGTTTGCATGACCATGCTCTCACTGCATGAGTGAGGAGCATCTCCAAGCATTGCCTGCAAAAGCACCATCAATAAAGCAGCTTCTCTTGCACAGCCCTAGCCCAACTCACCCTTCTGGACTCATTGTTTTGCCTCCCCCCTCCAGCAAAGCTGCACGCTGGACCTCTACAGGAGCCACCTTCTTGCAGGTGGTCATTCCTTCCCTGAACCGCAAAAATATTTCTCTGTTAACTTTTCTCTGTCTCCAGTGAGGTTTGGGCCCTGGAGTGAATAAATGACTGCAGCCCTTAGCGGAGGTGCAGCAGTGCCATGATTCTTCAGCTCAGCCTGCTGTCTCATCTCTCTGCTCTGCTCTCCAGGCTTTCATGGAAGAAGTGAAGTCTCGGGGGCCATACATTTACTCTGTCCTGGAGTCAGCACAGGCTTTCCTTTCCCAGCATCCATTTGAGGAATTAGAAGAAACAACTTCGGAGAGCAAAGGTCCGTGGAGCTCCCCTTTCCTAGTTGTCCCATAGCACAGCACAGCTTCTCCTGGGCTGGACCAGAGAGGATGAAGTGGAGGTGGCTGGTGTGGCATAAAGCGGCACGTCTGTGCTCTGCCTCATGCCATCGTGTGCCAGGCTTCCCAGTCCTTGGCCAGAGGTCAGAGCAGCTCTTCTGTCCCAGGTGAAGGCAGAAGCTGCTGGCACAGCCCGTGACGGGGTGCATCTCTCGAGAGAATATCAGATGTGCTCTGGGGTAGGTTTTTAAAGGGCAGCAGGGCTTCTGCCTGGGAGGACAGACAGAGAGCAGAGGTCTATGGGCAGGCTGGATATCTAGAGGAGCTGGTGCAGAGGTAGATACTATTATCACTTGTTTTCCCTCCATCTTTCCAGCTTTCTTTAATTTTTTTTTCCTCCCTTTTCCCTGCCCTCCCTCCATCTCTTGGCCACTCTGGGCTGAGCTCTCATTTTTGCTTTCCGTTTCCCTTCTGCTTTGCCTTTACAGATGTATCTCCCCGACACCGGATCCAAAATATCAGCCGTTTTGTCTGGAAGCAGGCGAATGTGGCCAGCGAGCTGTGGGAGAAACTCACAGCCAGGTGCGTTGACCAGCACCGTCACATCGAACAGACACTGGAGCAGCTGCTAGAGATTAAAGGAGCCATGGAGGAGCTCAGCACCACACTGGACCAGGCTGAAAGTGTGCGTGAAACCTGGGAACCCATTGGGGACCTTTTCATTGACTCCTTGCCAGAACACATCCAATCGACCAAGGTACTTCTGGCTGTGTGAAGGCTCCAGACTTGGCCCCAGAGGTGATGAGATGCTGCTCCTCCTAACTGCTCAGTCCAATGCAGCCTTATTAATTGGTGTCTCAGGGGCCAGGTCCTCCCAATGACAGCCCCACAGCTTTGTGAGGTTGGATTTGGCCTGCAGTGTCCTGAGCAATTGGCTGTGCTGAGCACTTTGTCATGGCACAGACCTTACACAGGTACAGTGTGGCTCAGCACAGATGAGCCATTTTCCACGTCCAACTTCTCAGGAGATCTGAGTAATCTCCAGCCTGGCTCTTTCATTTTTGTTTTGTTTTGTTTTTTTCCCTGCTAAGGTAACCTGTGGGAGGGTTAGTCAGCACTGTCATGCCAGCAACTAGCCCACCTTAACTGGTAGCAGAGAAATCAGATCCAAGTCCTGACCACTTGCCTGCTTCTTTTCCTTCTTCCTTTGCCCTGTGCCTGTTCCCTGGGCTTGGGACTCCAGCTGTTCAAAGAGGAGCTCTCCCCAGTGAAGGATGGGGTGAAAGTAGTCAATGATCTTGCGCACCAGCTTGCCATCTCAGATGTCCACCTGTCCATGGAGAACTCCCGTACCCTGGAGCAGATCAACATGCGCTGGAAGCAGCTGCAGGTGGGAAGGAGTCAGGACCAAGCACTGCAAATAAACCACGAGTGGGAGGATGCTGGGGAAGGGCTGTCACTGATAAGCCTCAAAGATGATAATGTAAGGCTTGGCATAGCAGGGATGGTATAGCTGGTGTTCGTGGAGAAGAGAGCATCAGTTCAGTGTGAGGAAAGTGGCTGGTATATCTGTAGAGGTCTTGAGCAGGAAAAGGTAATAAGAGGAACAAAGGATGCTGCCTGAGAAGAATCAGGATCTGGTGGGAGGTTCAGTACCAGCTGTGGCTTTGTTGATGTCTGTGAAAATACAGATACAGGTGAGCTCTAGATGTGGCCTGTGCTGCTTCAGCCTGTGGGAGGAGGTGTAGAGTGCTCAGTTGACTGGGGAATGCAAATACTGAGGAAGGAAGAGGACCTGTGTGTTGGGGCATGTCTGAGTCCATCCACAAGCCTTCCTGAACAAGGCTTCAATCTGAAATGCCTGATGCCACTGTATTCTGCTGTCCCATTCTCCAGGCTTCCATAAATGAACGCCTGAAGCAGCTCCAAGATGCCCACCGCGACTTCGGACCAGGCTCCCAGCACTTCCTTTCCTGTATGTGAGCGGGTCCTCCTGGCTTCCTGCCATGAAGCTACTTCTGGAGAGTGGCTTAGTGTGGGCTTGGCACAGGAGAATGGGGTGCAGACTCCTGTTGCTGAACCCAGAGCCCCCAGAGACAGGCATGCAGCTAAAAAAAAGGTCCAGACCAGTGCCTAGAGCACAGGAACTGGAGCAGGAGGCATCTCCCAGAGTTAGCATTGTGCTACCTCAACTTTGTGGGACCAAGGGTGGAAATGAGTGTGGATCCCCTTCAGAGCACAGAGCTGTGATACTTGCAGCAGCAGGTCCCAGGTGATACTGGGACTGTGCCAGCCTCAGAGACTGGGTGGGCAAGACAACAGATGGCAGAAAAAGAGTCCTCCATATCCTGTGTTAGACATTGGGAGGCCAAAAAAGTGAACGTTAAGGAGGTTTTCATTCACATGGTAAGGAAGAGGGTTGCTGTTCCTACAGAGTTGAGCTGATGGCTCTTAGACCTGCAAAGGATGGGCAGCAGGTTGTGCTCCGGAGTCTGGAATCTGTCCTAAGAAATGCCCTGCAGGGTCTCCAGATGTCAGTGGGGTTTGTTGGCCTGTGTTTCTCTGCAGACCATGTCCTCCTACCTGAAAAGAAGAGCAACTTTTCCATTTGCTGGAATTGATAAGCTGCCTGTGACAAAGGAAAATAGTTGAGGGTCGTAAGAGGGTTCTGTCCTCTAGATAACAAACATAGGGTGGCATGTAACTGATAAGGGATGTGTCCTCATCTTCCTGAGATACTGCAGCTGACGCAGAGAGCGTGAGTAATGGGAACAGCAAATGCTGTGGCTGCCCAAGCCTCGCCATAACAGGCAGTGCTCTGTGTGCGCCCGAATCCTAGCTGCTCTGAGCCCTGCCCACTGGTGACAGCAGCGTTGCCTTGGGCATCATCAAAACCATCAGGAAGTGTCTCTTCCTGACTTCTGAGCTCAGCCAGATTCAGAGCCCCTGCCTCAAGAGAGACAAGGTGCCTCTGACAAGACCAGCAGTCTTGTGTCTCTCTTATGGGCAGAGAGACCTCCTTGCCTGCTCTGACACCCCCGGGTGGTGATTTGGGAAGGCACAGCCTCTTCAGAAGCACCCACCTGCTGGCACAGCCCTGCTGGGCCTTCATCAGAAACAGCCTTTGGTGTTGATCTGACATCTCTGTCTCTCTCCTTGCAGCATCTGTCCAGGTCCCCTGGGAACGAGCCATTTCCCCCAACAAAGTGCCATATTACATCAAGTGAGTGTGTGCATCCTAGCCACAGCCCAGGGTCTTCTCTGGTCCAGCGGGAACAGGAATTGGTGACCAGTTAGCAGCGGGGAGCAGTGAGCAGACTGGTCTGAGCACTGAACTCCAGCGAAGCAGGTCACCCCCAGCCTGGCAGGTCCAGGCTTTCCCTGCCTGCTGAGATGCCCCAGATGAGGGGGAACACTGGCTGGGGGGAGGGTAGGGGACCATCTTCCTGTGGGCATCCTCTGTGCTGCAGTGGCTGAGCAGTGTGCTCACTGGGGTGCAGCAGCCCCAGTGTCTGCAGGCACTGGGGGACTCTCTCCCAGGGCCGGCCGTGTACTTTCTTTAATCTCTCGTGGCAGCTGTTTAGTTCCCAGTCTGACTCTTTCTATCTTTCCTTTTTCCTTCTAGCCACCAGGCCCAGACAACATGCTGGGACCACCCGAAGATGACAGAGTTGTACCAGACACTGGGTAAGGAGGCTGCCACAAAGCCACTTGAGTACATCCACCTTTTTGTAGAGTGGGGTGCTATATGAGATCCCCCCAGCCCACCTGCTCCTCTCTGTGGCACAGAGCTCCCCAAAGCAATGGGGTGTGATGCCCTGCCAGGCTCTGCCTGTCCTCCTCCACTCTGCTTCTGCTGGTGGGGCTTGTGTCTGGGAACTGCAACTGCTGCTTCCTGCCCTGGAGATAAGATGTTGAGCTGCGGTTTTATTCTTCTTTTCCTGTGTTATTGCAGCGGATTTGAACAACATCAAGTTCTCAGCATATCGGACAGCTATGAAACTACGACGGGTGCAAAAAGCCTTGCGATGTGAGTGCAGGAAGTATTTCCCTCCTGCTGGGTCTTCCTCGGTAAAGGCATTAAACTAACACAAGCTTTTATCAGCACATCAAAGGCTGGAGCCCACCAGGGAACAGGTAGCTGAGACAAGAAGTGCTAGGAAGATGAGCCTGTGGCTGGAAATCTGAGCAAATCCACTGGCAAGGTGTCTGTGTCAGCAGAAGAAAGGCAGGCTTAGGGTGGAAACGCTGCAAGGGCAGGCTTTAGTTAAAGGGATCTGAGATCAGAGTGGTCCAGCTCAGAGTTACAAAGCTGTGGTATCAGGCAGGGGCTCACACAGGAGCTCCAAGGGAGCCTGGAGAAGCTGTGGATGTAACAGAGAGCAGCAGCCTCACTGGCAGGAGCAGAGAGGGCTCCAGTACTCAAAGTGAAGGAAGGGAGCCAATAAACCTGACTCCTGTACTGTTGGTAAAACTCCAGTTAAAACAAGGATTAACAGCTAAGTGAATATGATGTGATAGGTGCTCAACACGATGCGTGGCTCCCCAAGGCAACTGCTCCTTGGAAACTGCTGAGGAGTTTCTGGGGCTATCAGTGAGCAGGCAGATGGGAATCTGATAGATGCAGCATCCTCCACTGCTGGAGAGCTTTTGGCAAGGCCTCTCGCCTAAGGCTCTGTCAAAATTAAACAGTGGCAGAATGAGGGAAAACCCCTTCCTGAATTAATTGTTCCCAACAGGGAGGAGATACAGCCAGGTGGTAGTGGGGTCCCAGGCAGACCCGTGCTCCTTGATGTCCTGTGAAAAGCCTTGAGGAAAGCAATCAGTGAGGGTGTCCTAGCTGCAGAGGAATTTAATGACACTGTGGTGACCAGGCTGTCCCATACCCAGGGACATTCAGAGCTGATGTAGTGCAAATGGAGGAAAGGAACAGTTAGCTTTTGCCACCCTGCAAAGATATCCATGCAGCAGAAACAGCTGCAGAAACACCAAACACGGTGAGGAAAAGGGCAGAGGGCAAAACAGAGCCCTTCTGTGTGCTACTTGTGCATCTTTGGTTGTGCATCTCTTGCACTGCTGCCTTCTTCCCAGCCCAGAAAAGATGTAGATGAACATAAATAAATGCTGCTTCTTCAAGATGTACTTAAGAAGGACAAGGAGGCTGCCAGGCAGCTTCCCCCTGATGAGATATTTGGTGGAATGAGTGGCCATGCAGGAAAAAGGCAGTGTGGCATGTCAGAGCCATATGCAGTCATGGGCAGTGTGGACACTTAGGATGAACCAGAGCGATATTCAGTGGCCCATGAATTGGGGGTGGTCCCCACTACAACTCTCAGAAGCTTTGGCAGGAGAAAGGAGGACTTTTTCCATGGAGTGAAATTATATTGTGGAGATGCACATGATCCTCCAGGCACCGAGAACATAAATAGTCTCAGAAATGAAAGAGTTTTAGGAAAGAAAGATTGCTGGCTGCTAAACACAGTAGTGTACACAACCTGTGGCCACAGGAATCTGAAAGTAGGGTAGCCAGGGTAGCTCACGCTCTCCTAGCCCCATTTTAGTTTGTGCCTCGACACCTGCTGCTGGTCAGAGCTGGAGACAGGACTGTTCCACTGCTGGGCAGCTGCTTGTAGGGTTTGTATGGCTGTGTCCCCTCACCTCCCACGCCAGCCCCTCAGGGACCCAACACATGCAGAGGCTGGCTCTGGGTGCCAATGGCTCCCCACAGTGTCTTTCATGGGTAGCATTTTTGTGGCCATGGCTGGCCACAGCAACAGGGAAGGAAGGCCATGCAGAATGGTGGCTCAAGTTGACTATTGGTGGTGATGTGGGTATTTTGGGAGGGGTTTGCGGGTCGGAGAACAACTCTGGAGCTGTGCTCATCCTGTCAGCATCTTCCCCACCACTGTGGGGCTGAGACTGCCCCACATCAGGGCAGGGCTGTGTCTCTCCTCTTGGTTCACACCTCTCCCATTTTCCTCTTTGTTTCTGATCCCTCTGCCTGTGCTGTCTGTGCAGTGGACATGGTGACCTTGGCCACAGCCTTGGAAATCTTCAATGAGCATGATCTGCAGCCCAGCGACCGGGCGATGGATGTGGTAGAGGTCATCCACTGCCTGACTGCCCTCTATGAGAGGCTGGAGGAGGAGCGGGGCATCCTGGTGAATGTGCCGCTCTGCGTGGACATGAGCCTCAACTGGCTGCTGAATGTCTTTGACAGGTACCGGTCCCTTAGTGTCCCCTGAGCTGCGGGGCTGCCATGCTTGGAATGAAACCTCTGTTCTGCTCTTCCAGCTGGCAGTACTGCAAAAAGGCTCCTAGCAAGAGGGCTGCCTGGCGCGGGCTTGCCTTGCTGATCCCCTTACAGAAATAGAACTCCAAACATTTGCAAACCTGTGCAATATCTCGCCTTGCAGTGGCCGCAGTGGGAAGATGAGGGCGCTCTCCTTCAAGACGGGCATTGCATGTCTGTGCGGGACAGAGGTCAAGGAGAAGTTTCAGTGTGAGTCCCCCCGTTTCCCTCCCCAGGGCCAGGTGTGGAGTAACCCAGGAAAAGTGGGAGTGCTTTTGTTTCCTGGCTTAGTCTTTCTTTGCCCAGAAAGAGCAAAGAAACAACTGTCCTGCAGTGACTAATCTGCTTGCATCGCCATCTCTCCCTCCCTCCCCAGGCCTATGCCACTTAAATTGGGAGGCGTTTTTGCAGACTGACTGGTGCTCTGTTGATCTTGCTTGCATGGCACTATAAGGAACAAGAGGCAAACAGGCAACAGTTATCAGCTTCCCAGAAGGAAAAAAAACTGGGGGTGCATGGCTGGGAAATAGGTTTCAGACAAATTAAAAGAAGCCCCTTTCCTCACTGCATTTTAACCATGCTACCCTGCCAGGGGATACAGTGGAGGGGTTAGCATAGGAAGCACCAAGGGGTTAAGTAAAGGGATTGGGCAGATTCATAGAGGACAGAACTGTTGAAGTGATGTATGTAACCTCAGGAAGTCTCAAGAAGACTCTGAACTCTTGGTTACTGGGAGCTGGAAAGATACTGGTAAAGCTTATTTAATCATAGCTCAGCTTTTCCCTCTTGCTTGAGCTCCCTGCTGAAGACAGGTGTCAGGGCCTGTGCTCTGACCACATGCTGCTGCCCCATGCCTGTCCTGCCTTGTCTCTAATGGGGCTGCGTGTCCATCCTGTCAGCAGATCTCTTCAGCCAAGTGGCAAACGCTGGGGGACAGTGTGACCAGCGGCACCTTGGTGTCCTGCTCCACGAGGCCATCCAGGTCCCACGCCAGCTGGGGGAGGTGGCGGCGTTTGGGGGCAGCAATGTGGAGCCCAGCATCCGCAGCTGCTTCCGTTTTGTGAGTAGAGTGCTGTGGCCACTGCCATCCCCTCTGCCAGGCTGGGGAGAGGCTCCCAGAGGTGGAGAGGAGCTTGCACCCCATCGCAGCTGGGTCCCAGCTCTGAGCAGTCCCTTCCTCTCCCCTCCCCAGAGCAACGGGAAGCCTGCCATTGAGGCGTCCCAGTTCCTGGAGTGGGCCAACCTGGAGCCACAGTCCATGGTGTGGCTGGCTGTGCTGCACCGGGTGACCATGGCCGAGCAGGTGAAGCACCATATCAAGTGCTCCGTCTGCCGGCAGTGCCCCATCAAGGGCTTCAGGTAGGTGTTGTGATATGGGACCTTGGCCCCCAAGGGAAGTGCACGATGTCCTGTGGGAGGGAACTGAGTTTGTTCTGTGTTGTGGGGGGAACCCAGAGCTCTGCAACAGCCGTGTTTTGGGCAGATCAGACCAGGTGCCAGCAGAGGGGGAAGGAGCAGGATGATTTTCTGGGGACTTGAGCCATCAGCACTGTGGGCTCAGTAGGGGGCAAAAGCAGCACAGACCACCTGTGTACCCTGCTGAGCTTTTCTTGGGCTCTAAAATGATGTGGTTTTGCTGACTCACTGCCTCCCTATGGTGTCTTGATCTCTCCAGGTATCGGAGCCTGAAGCAGTTCAATGTGGATATCTGCCAAACTTGCTTCCTCACTGGCCGAGCCGGCAAGGGCAACAAGCTGCACTACCCCATCATGGAGTACTACTCCCCGGTATGGGGCAGGGCTGGGCTGGGAGGGTCTCGGCTCAGAGCAGGTCCCCATTGATGGCAGAAGCCTGGAGGTGTTTAGGCTGGTGTATCCCTTGTATGTATTTTTTCCCCTCTACATGCTGGAGGCTGCCTGTGTCCCTGCTATTCTGGGGCTTGTGGGGTGCACGACACCCACCAGTGCCCAGCTTGGCTTGTACCAGGCCTCGTGATAGGCTGACAGAGCTGCTGTGTGCCCTCCTTTGCTTCCTCAGTTGTGTCTGACTCTTCCTCTGTGGAGTGCTCAGCCTGAAAGGACTTATTTCCTGCAGATGCTAACCTGTGGACCCACACTTTTCACTAAGCAGCACCTGGTAATGTTTGTGTCTCTTCAGACCACGTCCAGTGAGAACATGAGAGACTTTGCCACCACACTGAAGAACAAGTTTCGGTCCAAGCAGTACTTCAGCAAGCACCCACAGAGAGGTTACCTGCCCGTCCAGTCTGTACTTGAGGCTGACTTCTCCGAGACGTGAGTTGACAGTGCTCTGGGCTGTGTCTTTTGACCCTGTCTGATATGTGGGTTTCATGCATGGAAACAGCATCTCAGCTGCAAGACAGGGCTCCCGTGGGAGGGCTGGGGGGGGTGGGG